TTGTGTTCCAGTATGCCTGAAGAATTCTGTTCCATTCCAGACGTCCGTGTATGTCAATATTCTTATCCGAGGCAAGCATACGTTCTTTGAATGTTCAGACAGCACGTTCAGCTAACCCATTAGTTCTAGGGTGATATGGTGTTGTTTTTATGTGTATTGTGCCGATACTCTGACAGTAGCTTCTAAATTCGCTTGATATGATTTGAGGGCCATTATCTGTAACTATATATTTCGGAATACCGAATGTGGCGTATATATTGTCTAGACGACTTATTGTTGCTCCTAATGTTGTTGATTTCATTGGTATAACTTCCAGCCATTTTGTATAAGCAATCCGGGTCCGGGTGTACCAATAATTGAAGGTAGGGTATTGTAGGCAGGTCTATTTTTGTAAACAATTGACCCACAGTTAGTTTGGATGTAATTTCCTCAAACCTTGGTAAGGGGTAGTCATCGACTTGTACATGCTGGTTGATCGTTACTTTGAAATCAGCTAAAATACGTACGTTTCCATTAGATTTAATTGCAATAACTATAGGTGCCCACTCAATCGGCGTTACCATTGTATCAATATGTTCTAGAACCCCCTCTCTTACTAAACGCTGTAATTCGTCGTTGACTTGGTCTTGTAGGGCCAATGGAACTGGTCGTGGTCTGGAAGCCTTAGGACGTACATTGTTAGGAATATGGATCTTGGCAGTATGACAGTTAATTGTACCTAATTTTCCATCAAATAGTGTTTTAAAATTCTTTAGTAAACATTCAACCTCATCCTTGTTATGTTGTCCTGTTATAGGGGGAACTGTTTTTGTTATGGGTTCTTTTATGTTACAGAGACGGGCCCCAGGTGGCATAGATAGGTTGAATTGTAAACACCAATTTAATCTAAATAAGGGTAAGTCATTATGTTTTGTTACATAGGCTGGCAATATCTTCATATTATTAAAGGCCATCACGGTTATGTCGCAGAGTCTCGACCTTGACGTCTGTAGGCAACAAGATCCTTACATTTTTTTAGTGTTGGTCGACCAATTCCTTTCCATAACAATTTGCCAATTACCGCCCCAGGGTCATATAAAATATCAACTTCTATACTGTTAAGTTTCGTCGATATCATAATTTTGCTGGCAGGATTACGAAAACCAACCGCACGAGTGTGTGTGCTCTCAGCATCAGAATCTTCATTTTCGCTATCAGTACGATGTTTCTTTATCGAAACTTGGTCTTGTATTATTATACTACTTGTTTATTATATCACTTGTTTATTTTTAAATGACCACTACCTCTACAAACGCTCGAGAAATGGTTCATTTTATTGCAAGCATTGCATCTTTTCCCCTTTACAGGACAGTCGTTCAAATTTTGGTGGTATTTTCCTCCACAAAATATACATTTTTTTGAGGGAATGTTTGTGTCTTTTCCGGGTTTTCTATTGTTTTTGATGTTAAGTTTGTTTACAGCTTGCGGTGATTCATTAGTAGTTTCCATAGCAGTATAGTTGTTGTTTGTTAAACGTTGACTCTGTATTTTTGCTTGTTCCAGTTTGTTCAGTGTAGCGATAATATCAGCAAGTTTCGAATCATACGTTAGGTGTCCTTTGATGAGTTCCTGTTGCCATGTAATGTTATTAATGCCGATTACTAGTTGATCTCGAATTCGTTCTTCTAGTGTATTTCCGAATTCACAGTATCCAGCGAGTGAACGAAGTTGTAGTATAAATTGTGAAATTGTCTCATTTTCGTTTCTATACCTTGTAGCAAAAGATAACCGTTCGGAGAGAATGTAGGTCTTCTTGCCATAATATTCATGTAATTTAAATTGTCGATGTTACGAGAGTCGGTCGAAAATAATTCACAAGTACCTTGAATGATGTTCGACCGATTCGGGAGAGAAGTAATTGTTTTCTCTTATTATTACTATCTGACATTGTTCGGCCAAGCCCATGAAGTTGTAACTCGATCTCAAACATTTGTATATAGTAATCCCAGTCTTCTGTATTGTTGTCAAATATATTAAAATTAAAACGTTCCAACGACATCTCGTCGCCAAATTTATGTTGTATTAAAATACAGTAATTGAGGAATATATTTAATATGTTACGAATATAGTGACATAGTTTCGAGTTTTTCTACAATGTTATTGACATTGTAGAAATCAGTTAGATGAATAATAAATATGACGTTGGTCTATAAAAAGTATCTATTATACCACAGCAGTAAAGATGCAAAACTGTCAATTTCAATCTATTGAAATTTCTGTTACACTCTTCCGTGCCACTTACGAAATCACTCCCACTAATTAACTACAACAAAATAAAACTATTTTTTTATTATTTAATGTATTTCGTCTTATTGTATCTTAATTGTGGTCTTATCCTTTACTGCATAATGGAATCAAAACTTTAGGTAACGATGTTACAGGATCAGATAGTAGAGAAAAAAGTCACACATCAATAAATTCACTTTCGGAAGCATGTGGTTATTAGAAAATTGTAAATACAATAGAATAATTAAAAGTTCCATAAAATTTTACGAAAATAAAAAAAAAACAGGTACATTTTAAAAGAAAAAATAGTATCATTACATGTATATTACGTACACAAACAAAACAAATTCAATCGTATTGAAATCGCGCTTCATTTTGAAGTCGGTTGTAAATATCTACAACATATATGGCTAACGGTTAATTGATAAATTAACCGTTAGCCATATATGTATGTATATACATTTTTAGAATCTTTCTGAAACAAAAGTATGTTAGATGATTTATATGGCACTAATTACAAAGAAAACTAATTTCAATCGTTAATAAGCACTACTGGGCTACGTTCCTTACAACGTATTCATAACCATTATTATTAGCTAAGGTATTCTTGTAATCATAGACAATCTTAAATGATATAGTATAACTAAAAAAACAATCTGAAAACTATGAATCCCTTTAAAAAATGTAAATTTATATTCAAATCTATATATCCTAATCTTTTCTAAGTCGGTTACAACTATCAATTAATTACCGCTGCTCAGAAATGCATGAATAGGGAATATAGGAATCATCCGCATCACCCGGCACGCCACGACATCAACAAACTCACTCACGGGGGCAACCGACGAACAAGAGGCAGGGCAGGAAATCTACTTAAAATAAACTGACATAAACTGTATGTATTAGGAACATTGCAATATTTACAGTTTAACCAACCTAATATGGTTTAACTTATGAACTATATTTGGAGATTTTATTATTTTTTATAGTGATTTATTCTGATCGTGTATATATGTGTGTGTTTGATATAGCCCTATATGATAAGGTTGAATAGCGCTAGTATAAAGTCTATGACTAGATTGGTTACTAGGGCTACCCTGCTTGTTTATTGTCACTCTAAAAAAAAATGAAAATCTGTGTGTCATATAGGTATGTGTTCTATAAATTGTAAATAATAGTGTTAAAGTGTTCGTGTCGTGTCGTGTCGATCCTACCTACCTACTCGCCCGATCCCTTCCAGTGTGTAATACCCGTATCTGCTTCCGTCTCCACTGCTTACAATATTTGGTAAGCCACTCTAGTTATATTACTATACGGTTCCGTTTCCACCGCTTGCTGAATTTGGTAAGCCACTCTAGTTATATTAGTTTATGTATCATAGAGGACGCAGAAGTTTTCAAGGTTCTTGACAGCAACCGCTACTGTCAAAGTGACATTATAGTCGCTACTATAGACTCTTGAATGTCAAATAAATCTGTGCACTGCATAGTAGACAACCAATATTATCTTAACCATTACGATTACTGTTTCGTGAATAATTGAGATGTAGATATTCAATTTTAATTATTCTATTTTTTGCAGTTCTTTTAGGTACGAAAGTATACTTATTACATAAGTAACAAATTCTTTCAAAAACATTATTGTGCTTCCTCCCCGCAAGAGCATATTGAGTATGAACGAAATTCCTATTTTTATTATGACCACTAAACTTGAATATATAATAATAATTATTGATTTTAATAAATTCTTTTCAGAAAATAAAATGCAAAGGCTATTATCATTTGTGAAGACCATATCCATGGGAACCAACCTGCCTGTTGTCAACACATTTAAATCTGGTCCCAATATACTAATGCCTACTAGTCCTTTAATGAATTTTATTTGTGGCATGAAAGTGAAAGGCCGAGTGAGGCGACGTTGTAAATCATGTTATTTTGTTGTAAGGGATGAAAGGATGTACATAATGTGTCATAAACATCCGCGCCACAAGCAAATGGCAATGAAACCAAAACCACATAATACTTGGATACTTACTCATGCAAGCCAAAGCCGCGTCAGACCATGGTAGTCTTTAGAATAAATGTAATATAATATTTAGTGTAGGTAACATAAAAAATAATAAAAATGAAGTGAACAGTAATAGTTTATTTTTTTGTAAATCTCATTCCTCCTTCTCTTCTTCTCATCCATCCTTCCTTCTCCAATGTTAAAGATTCGAATCCCATTTTTAAGCGATCTAACTGCTCACTTAATTTAATGTAAACAATTGGACCATAAGGGGTGACTAGTGGCATTCTAAGATTGTTAGTAATGTACCAATTCAATGGAAATTATTTCTTTCCGATAAACGAAAAACAAAAGCTATTTGAAAACTGCTCTCATAGCGGACATTGATATGGTTCTTAAACTATTGCTTTATTTATTTTAATGGTATAAATAATATTGGCAGTTATTATACCTTTATAAGTGTAATTTATACCTCTTTCTATCATAATATATCTATACATATTGAATAAGAATGTAAATTTCAATCAATACATGATTTTCCATTATCCTTCATTAATATTATATATTTAAATTGGTTGAAATAATTGTTACTGTAACAATTAATTATAATTAGGTAAAGCTTAAGTTACTTATGTAGAAATCTACTTTGTGAAATTTATAAAGCTCATTAAAATTTTCTATATAGCTACTATTTGGTTATCTAATTTAATAATAATGATATAAAAATAATCTGTACATTCCTTTAATTATTTAACAAGACAACAACTCTGTAATTATTTAACAAGGTGTCTAACTTATAAATTGATAACCTAATAAAACATTGTGATGCCAATTTTTATATTTTCGGAGTTATTGTAGGCTGATTATAATTTACCATCATGTATCTTCAGTTGAAGAATTGTTTGAAGGAGAATCTCTCTCATCATCATGTAAGTTTATCATACTGTAAGAAAAAAAATTTATTGAGTATAACCATAAATAATAACTTATAATACATAACCACATACATATTATAATACATAACTATTATATATAATCTTCAATATTAAAGGTGGAACATAATTTTGTAAATAATAAAATATAGTTTAAATAAAATTTAAAGCAAGTTGCACTAGTCATGGTTGCAAACTGACCGGAGTAAGGATGATACAGGAGTGTGAGCATTGCGAACTTTCCTTGGACAACCTAATAATGGTAAAAGAAAAACTGCTAGCACCTATCGCATTTATATATGGCATTGACATTTCCGTTACTCCAGTCAGCTCATAACCATTTTCACTATATGGACGTATGGAATTTCAATTTCCTTTTTATAGATATAAATAGAAATTCTAAAATAAAAATAGCCAAGTTACTCCTTATACTATTAATTAACTGTGAGTGTACATTCGGTCAAAAACAGTACAACCATATTCAAACAGGCAGACAAACATTTTTAACAACATTTTTTTATATATATTTTATAAGTACTGCATATATAAAAAGATTGTAAATAGCTGTTAATTTTAAATTAAAAAAGGACACTTCAATTGTTAAAATTTGTATAGATATAAATATTCTACTTTTTTATGGTAATGATATTTACCTAAATCTGTGAATTATATCACTGGATTCCTCATGATGAGAAGAGGTTACATCTTCATTATCAGAGACTTCAATAACTTCATTTTCTATTTCATTGACATCATTATCACTACTACTTTTAGTTTGTGGGATTTTGTTACTGTCAACATGTTTTATACCAGCTATTCCTAAAAATAAATACACCAGTTATAATATTGATTGAGGCTATATTATAAAAAATTGTTTCTGAAGAAATTAGAGAAACAAACAGCAAATAAATAATATAATGTATTGTATTCCTTACTTTAAAACTAGCTTTGCATGGTATTATGTTTTTATAAGCACCAAGGACAGAAATTGATAATATAATAACAATAGCTTAGGGCCCTATGTATACATATTCTAGTAAAACATTGTGATGTCCATACTTACATTATTTATTTTACTGGCATGCTTATACTAATTCCGATCACTTCTAAAACCTTATCAATTTAATATCTTTAATAAATTAACACTAAATAATACTGGCTATATTTTTATACTATAATTCAAATGTTTAACCTTTAGCCTGTAGTGTTGATTGATCACGACGTACAAGCCGACGTCTTGTAGGATCATTGCGTCGTATTTGAATCATATTTTGAAAATCAATATTATATAATGCACCAGCTATAAGAAGAGTACACTCCATTTCTCCATTGTTGAAAGCTGCTTCTAATTCAATATTACTGCGTTCATCATATTTCCACCAACCTAAAATGTTCATATAGTGTTAAAAATACTAAATTATATAGAAACTTTCTTACATTTACATTTGAAAAAAATATCTTTTATTAATACCACAAGATAATAATTTAAAGTGAAAGTGACAAACTATGATATACTGTATATTTTGGTATGTATGCACACACACTAAATCATATGTTATTTGTACCTATATTATTAACTGAGCAATGTAGATATTTGTATATTTTTCTTTCTTTTACTGTATGTTCAGTATGTCCTTTCATGCAAATAAAAGTTATATTTATATAGTTATGTCTTTAAATAAGAAAATAAAAATATAAATACCATTTCTGCCTTCATAATACCACTGATACTGTTCATTGTCAGATTGTGTGTTTTCAAGTAGTGTAGACGGATTCTCCAGTAACACTGGGTGGTCAAGGTAATCTGATGGGATATCAGTACGGCACATGGCGCACTTTTTACTTTGTATTGCTATACCCTAAAAAATCAGAGTAGTTGTTATAATTTTTAGAAGTTAATCTTTAAAGTTAGTACGTGTAATTTTGCAAAATGAACACTACTATGAACTACATGACTTTAGAAAGTACAAAGTACTTCCTAGACTACTTTCAATGATGTAAGCATCTCCTACAAAACTAACGATTTCAAATACGAAAGTAGAATGTTCCAACGTTATTCACATTTACACACCACTTACCTTAACACAGAGAAAACAAAAAATATGACCGCAAGGAAGCTGTGTTGGATGATGACATTTTTGTAAACACACAGGGCAGTCCTGATCTACAGTAAAAATAGAATAGTATAAATCTATATCGTTATTACATTAACTTGAATTTAAGTATTATGTTTCAATTATTTGATACATTTACCTTGATTAAAGTCAGACATCTCACTACAGTATAAAAGTATTGTTTGTTATTAATAACAAATCAAAGGGGTCTCCCCTTTAACATTTTCTTGACATATTTGACATTATTCTGCCGTACACATACATTACTTTTAAAATCATAGAGCAATGAACCACATGCACAGATAATAAAATTATAATGATATAAAGGGATCTTTGTATTCCTTTGTATCATTATAATTTTATTATCGATTAAGAAAACAATCGAGTTTTGTGAAATTATAATAATGTAGCGATAATTGATATGGAATGTTGGATACCATGGATGTTCAGTTAGAAAATATCAACGTTAAATTGTCGACATTTCAATGTGAATGTTTTGCACCACGGCAATAGCCGCTATAAGTTAGGTGTCAAGAACTTCTATATTAAATTCATATCACAGTACAGCCGTGCTCAAAGAACAAAATAGAAAATTTTAACAATAAATTGACAACCGAGTGCCACTATGCCATCAATAATAATATATCCCATCAAAAACATAAATGTGAAATGATAGCAGAGTTTAATATTATGATACATGCTTTGATTTTGATTGATTGTTGACTTCTACGACAAAAGAGGTGAGATCTAAATGGGTGCCAAGTTCAATGGTCTGTCTTGAAATGTATTTATAACAATATAAAATATAATTTCTTCTTATAACTTAGGATAATATACTGTAGCCTAAGGTTTGACTTGGCTAGTTTTCATATACGAAATATACTTATGAAATATTTATGAAATTTGGAACACATATTTATCTCGTAAGTCTCAATATATAAACCAAATTTGACAGGTTTATGTGAAAGAGTTTTTGAGTTATGAGGGGGTCAAAAGTAAAGTGTAAATATACACACGGTGCTGCTCGCCAGTTCTCTTGAAACTCGGCTTGACAGGCTACCGCGTGTCTAGATTTATTCATTTTTACACAATGTCACTTATTTATAGGCCGTAACATCTGTGCTAGGGAATCACTGTGTTACAGATGTTATTTCCTTTTCCGATTGTATGTACAAATATATTTTAGTTAAAATATCTTTGTACAATCGAGTAATATACAGTAGTATACAGTGGCCTGGCGACGATTATCCTTCCTTTTACCATTATCCTTTTCACAGTTTCGAACTTGGATTCGCCAGAGATCCTCTGAAATATAAAACCAAAGATGAAATGAACCACTGATTTCAAACTATGAAAAGTGACAATTTCAGTAGTAAACCAACGATTAACAAAACGCCCAATGAACCTAAATAGGTGAAACCCTAAAATGGTAGGGACAATAATGTGGCACTGCCTGTTGTACACAATTGTGCTATAGAAACTTCGTTCTTTGAAGCCGAAGAAACGGGCGCTTACGTAATCGTGGAATGCGTATCACTGGCCACATAATGCAAACAAGATAATAAGAAACGTTCTTTTGTCATATAAATTAAAATAGCTATTAAAAAATAGGGGTTGGTGATAGAAGGGTGAAAATTTAGGGTTGAATGCATTTTTAATGGCACATTAAAAAAATGTCCAAAAAATAACTGTTTGGGGTGAACAACCCTTATCACTTAGGAGTATGAAAAATAGTAGCCGCTTCTTAGATCTACGGAATATGCATATAAAATTTCATAAAAACCCGTCAATCCGTTTGAGTATGGTAACTAACATTCTGACACAAGAATTATATACATGAGATAAAATATGTAGTTACCTAAAATGATGTTTACAGGCAACAATTTTCTAAAATCGTGCTGCATGGTCTTTTGCGTGTAGGTCGAAGCGACCTTGTTACACCTAATATAAGAAACTAGCTGTACCCGCGAGTTCATACGCGTAAAATAGTGACCTTAACCAAGTTTCATCGCTCTAGCTTCAAAAATGAAATTTTCATACAAAATTCTATACAATTCAATCAACAGCCAAAAAAATAAGTTTCAAACTTCTAGCTTTAAAAATGACGTTACTTCCACATAACCTTACATCTCCTAAATGACGATACTTCTCAACCTCCTCGTTCAATCTCTTACAACCCTTTTCGCATTAAAAAGTAACCTATGTCCTTTCTCAGCATCTAGACTAGGTATATGTGTGCAAAATTTCATTGAGATCAGTTCAGTAGTTTTAGCATGTGAGTGAGACAGACAAACAGACAGAGTTACTTTCACATTCATAATATTAGTAAGGTATTTATTAAACTAACCCAAAAAAGCGAAGGAAAAGTTTCATCGTTCTAGATTAATATTATATGTCGTTTTATTCTTCAAAAATATTAATATTATGTTCTTACGTTCTTGTCTAAGAGCAGAATCACCAGTGATAGGCTGTATCTGGATTATATTTATGTATTTATAAAATAAAATTGCAAAGCAAACGTTTATATATTTAAATTTATAAGGACACAACGGATTGACAATAATCAGTTGCACGCGCAACTTCGCATGTGCGCCCTGCTTATACAAATGACATATGTACAACGCATTTATATGTGTTCAACCGCATAAAGATAACCTTGTATTTCCATTTTCAATCCCTTACAACCCTTTTTTCGCATTAAAAAGTAGCATATGTCCTTCCTCGGAGTCTAGACTATCTGCGTACCAAATTTCATTTAAATCTGGCCAGTAGTTTTGGCGTTAAAGCGAGACAGACAGACAGACAGAGTTACTTTCGCATTTATAATATTAGCACAGATAACATAATATTACATACAGACACCCCATCCCATACAAGAAAATGGTTCCTTCCTAACTCGGGCTATTCTTCGGGCTATTTTATTTCGCCACCGTAGCCGCTAGATGTCGCTAGATCTGAAGCAGTTCGGAATACTAGTGGGTGCTTAGTAACAAAGCATGAAAATAGATGGCAGTCAATTCAGTCTACATGACATCTGTTTTGCAAAGATATGTATATAATAGATATGTAGGTAACTGTATCGTGTACCTCATTAGGGACGATTCAAGATTCAATGTAAATGTGTAGGTATAATATCGTTAGCCGACACTCTGCAGATATGGCTTATGTGCCAATGTAAATACCTATTATGTTATGGTTTATTTTACATTCCATGCCTATTTTTTTGATATGTTGTAACGCGTCTGCGCTATACGTCTAGCCTGATTTTGATACGTTTATACTCGTACGTATCAAAATCGGGCTATACGATTTTTTATTTCAATCGTTATATGTATGAGACTGATTTTAGCTACAATTAATTTACTGGTATATACCTCATGTATTCTACGATGTACCCCTCTTTTACCTAATGAAAATTCCGCTATATCTTATATATAAATTTTGTATCACAGTGTTAGTTGCAATATTTCTCCCACATTTTGATGAAATTTGATATGTATACTTGCCAGGTCTGAGGTAGGGTTGTTATCTATTTTTTATACCCCTAAGTCATAGGGGTGGCCTACCCCGAAAAATATTTTTTTGTATTATGGACAATTTTTTATTTATTTATAATGTTACATTGAAAATACATACACGCCTAAATTTTCACCCGTCTTTCACCAACCCCTATTTTTAATAGCGATATTCTTACAAATATTATAAATGCTAAAGTAACTCAGTCTGTCTGTTTGTCTCGCTTTCACGCCAAAACTACTGAACTGATTTAATTGAAATTTGGTAGACAGATAATGTAGACCCTGAGAAAGCTACTTTTTAATGCGAAAAAGTATTGAAAGGGGAAATGAAAGGCTATATGAGGATATCGTAATTTTTAAAGTCAGATCTTGTAAGATTAAGTGAACAGGGTCGGTCTAGGTTTTTCATTATTAAAAATGTGTAACGGGGTAACACGTTATTTAGTGCGAAATTGTTTATTGTTTGTTATTCATCTAATATTTTTGGCATTATTTTTAAGTTTCTTCCAAATACAAGGGGTCTGACATGGGGTGTTATGTACCTACATTAAAAGATACTTTTTGAAATGTATGAAATGTTTTAAATGTATGATATTTTGAAATGTGTGTACCTACATTAAAAGATAATTTTTGAAATGTATGAAAGAAACGTATTGTATGAAATTTTTGAAATGTGTGAAATGTATGTATTGTATGAAATTTTTTAAATGTATGAAAGAAATGTATGTACCTACATTAAAAGATAATTTTTGAAATGTATGAGATGTATGAAAGAAATGTATGTACCTACATAAAAAGTTCATTTTTGAAATGTATGAGATGTATGAAAGAAATGTATGTACCTACATAAAAAGTTCATTTTTGAAATGTATGAAATGTATGAAAGAAATGTATGTACCTACATTAAAAGATAATTTTTGACATGTATGAAATGTATGAAAGAAATGTGTGTACCTACATTAAAAGATAATTTAATTAAATTAAAATATAATTTTTGAAATGTATGCACCGTACAATAACAATACACGTTAAACATCAGAGTCATACGCAAGTTAAAAACAAACTGCTATGATATTAATGAGAAAGGAAAATCAACTTTATGGTATTCGAGTTAGGGTCGATTTCTCTCTTTTTTTTAAATACTATTTTAATCTTACCAGTTGCCAGTATTCGAAGACAGCTACGATTCGTACTCGATATTTTAAATTATTATGTAATCGATTTTTCAGTACAAATGTAAATAACCAACGACACTAATAATGTACTACTATATTCCGTTCTTTGAAACGGAACACTGCTATAATACAAAATAATGAAAATTTACTGTTCACAACGACTCATTAAAAGCATCATCGAATAATGCGTAATAAAATCCTGTTATCGATTATTAAAAAAAATCGATAATACATGTATTTATTTTTAATATGACAACACTTCATACATAAGTATTATTGGAAATAGTATTACTTGCTTGTTCGGCTATTTTTAATTTACTTAAAATTTTTTTATATGTTTAATTTACAATAATAATATATTAAGTGCTTATTATTGGAAAATATAAAAAAGACATTTAATTAGGCCGATACAAATGACGACAATGCCATCTATGAAAGCATTTTGAAAACATTGAGCCCCGTATTAGCACTGATTAAAGTGTAATTAAGTACTGGAAAATAACAAAATGAGTAAATATATGAAAATTACTTTTCTAAACGCATTATTTCATTTTAACATGTATATATAACTTTTTAAAAATTGATTAAACATTTTTGAAAACACAGTTTTGTTTTTTAAAACGTTTGCAAAACTATGAAGAATTCCATCGATACCAATCACGCCATCTATATGCAACTTTTAGCAATAATAATGGCTACTTCCTCATTGAGTGCCACTGATATTAGTAAGGATTAATAGTGAAAAATTGGGTGACTTTTTTTTATTTTAAACAAACACAAAACGCGATCCAGACTCGTCTCAAGTGCAGTGGTTCGATGGCGCTAGAGAGGGTTCATCGACAATTTTCATAGCACATATGATAATGCAAGGCACTCCTGCCCAAAGATAAGAACACTACTCCAAATGCGGGTGAACCTGTGATTTATTTGAGTAGATATAAAGAGTCTCTGGTCCATAGTGAAATACTTCGATCTATTGAGCACTCCGAGCTTTTTGGACGCCAGCCTGACCTTTTATTCGAAATGACTGCAGACCTCAACTGTGCTAGAGATATCAACACAAAGAATATCAATACTCTTATAGATCGTAATGGAAGTGTTCAGGAATTGCGGAGTCACAGCAAAGGTCGCTTAACGGTAAACACCCAGGTTTTCTTAGTAAGGTTAAATTGAACTAAGTTTAGTCGCCCCCAATCGGAAACTCTAGTAAGAGTACTCTCGATATCAAACACACGCTGGTCGCGGCTTGGCTCCACAACGGAAAGAGAGATATTAGCACGGCTCGTGTAGAATGTATCCACAGTACTACCAACCTTATAACAGTGATATAATCATTAATATTTTATAATGCTACATGCAGGTAGGGATGTGGCAGATCGTGTGCACTGTACTTGAGATCGGATATGGCAGTGATCCGAAAACCAAGTGACGATTCCACAGTAACAAAATTTCCGAACAGACCTCTAGATGTGTGATAGATATTAATGTCTCCAAGAATCACAAATCTCGCGAAAGGATTTTGCTCAAGATTCTTATCAGACGTCAATTGAAGTTGCTCAGACAGACGAGTCGTAACCTTATCATCGCTATGAAAACCTGTATATACATCGTTATTGCTATGAAAACCTGTATAAACTTACTTAAACAGCCTAATAGTTACCCCGAGTGATCATAGAACTGTCAGATCTTTTTCTTCTAGACCAAGAAAGCGGCGACAGCAGATGACTATTGAAATGGATTTCTGCAACATCATGAAGTGCCCTGATGTTGCAGAAATCCATTTCGATAGTGGATAGGAGTGTTGCTGGTGTACCATGTTTGCTTTTTTTGATCTCTAGATATTTTTTGAGTATCTTTTTTATGCTAAATGGGGAATGAAATTGACGCACCTTTTGTCCATTTTAATACCAACACATGGGATTAAAATCGACAAAAGGTGCGTCAACGCACAACAGTATTACACGGGTTGGTCGAGCTGGTGACACAGCGGCCGGAAGGGCTCCCGGTTCTCTCCGCTGGTGCAGCAGCCGGATCCACACCGGTACTACTACTTCAGGTATTATGCGCAGGCGGTGTTGCAGGCTCCCATGGCGGAGATTACGTAGTCTCTGTATTAGAGAACCCAGCACGTTGCGGGGTTAGCCGTTTCACTGGGTCGTCCTGGTTTAAAAATGCCTGCTTAATGTACATATATGTAATATAATATCAATAGGACTTTATAAAACCCCTTATTTAAATGCGTTCCAAATCGATGAGAAAGCGTGTTATACAAAGTTACAAAAAATTCAACATTTGTCCCAGTGAATCCAATCTGACAGGTTGGACTCACTAAAACTAACGAAACTAAAATAAAAGTTTTTGATGATAGAACGCCATTTTGCGTCATCCGTCATTTTTAGAATGACGTCACTGTTCTCTTCATATTTCGATTATCAATCCCTTTCATAGATTCATCATAAGCGTAACTATAAAATTTATTGCTAAATTTCCATGACATTCGCCATATTTGCTATTCAGATCTATAATCTTGTAAATAACACAGAATAACTGATAAATAAAAATGTAATCACTGAACAAAATAAATAGTATAAAAACACATTAATTCATAAATTATTGAAAATAAGTGACGTCGTAACATTTAAAATATTTAAACATACTTCTTCTGCCATACCAGCCAGTATCAACATCGATTGCAGACCATAATAAAACATTCCGTCATTGGTCGAAAAGGTATTTTTTAACAGAGTCACAAAATCGGGACTTTACAAATGTTATTATAACGGTATCTAAATATCCCGTCCAACACATAGTGTTTGCACACATATACTTAACATAAAGATTAATGTGGTTAACAATATAAGTTTTACTGGCTAGATTTCATGAAACACTAGGGCAGGTGAAACTAAGTTTTTAATAATAAACATTTATTTACACTTACCCGATTATGAACAACCCAACTTATTTAGCCACAAATACAGTAATGGGCATGTAGGTAATCAAATATTGAGTAAAGTAAGGGGTCTAACAAAAGACAGAAAAAAAATTCAGTTACTGTACTGAACATTTATTACCCATTTTTTATAAAATGTTTGAATTACATAAAGTAAACTGGAATGAAGAGCCAAAGGAAATTATAAAGTGATATAATTTATTTTCACTTATTTAATCGAATTACGTAAAAACATATTGTATTCACTTGTCTCTTACTTTAATAAGATCATTTAGATCTAATGCTACACAAATTTCCTTAGAATCTGTACGTGGATTCCGGTCCAAAATTTCAGTGATTGGGTAGTAATTATCACGGTTGTCAACATTCCATCCAGAATACTGAAAATAGATTATTATTATAAGTTAATTACAAATTATTAAAATTTATTACATAGTTTAAACTCTATGTACATGGCATTACTGTTGTGTAATAATACATTACAGAGCATAGTGAATACCTCATTTATTTTGCAGTACTATAATTAAAAGTAAATTCCTTATGTTGTGATTTTGGTGTATGGTTATTTAAGCAATCTGTCATCCTGATATATTTTAGGAACTAGGATTCAATTAATTGACTTCACTGATATGGAATATGAAATAATTGTATATACTAGACACTATTATATACACTCTATTTATCATGGGAAAAAAATATGACCTAAAGTAGTGATTGTGCCATATTTTTTAATGATATTGAAATAATACAATTTTTAATAACTGGCTTAAAGCTATTTGGAATTTAAAATTTTCTTATTTTTAAGTTTAGACAATATTTTTCATAATGTAAGCATATTATTATTGCCATATCTTGAAGTAGAATCACATAGTACACACTACTGTGTGTAGGTCTGTACAGAGCACCATGGCTAGAAATTATGTGGTACATGCAGTATGTATGTGACTTACACCTTATTGATAATAATTTTTGTTTGTACATCATTTTCTCAGAATTGAATAAAATGATTTACTATGCTTTTATATTATTAAAAACTCACCACACAGGTGCATTTGTGAAGAATTTTTCCATTTGACTCCATTGGTATAAATTTCTGTAACAATGCTTTTCCATCTATTTTCCATAAATTTAATTCATCCAACTTTGAAATTACTGTGTCACCATCCCACTTAACATCTGTTTTCAGCAATACAAAATTTCCAGACTGTAAAAGATAATTATATTATTTCATTATAGGTATATCTTAAATATATAATTGTTGCTTTTTAAAATTTTATGTGTCATTTATACAAATTATTAACAGGATTAAGTGTGAATAGAGTGGACTCAGAACATAAATAAACAATCTCAGTTGTACATGACTAGTTCTTAATATCAAACTTATTACAGAAATATACTAAGCAATTATAAGTAGTTCAGTAAAACAACCTATTAAGCAGTTATTGGATAATAAGAGAGTGTGAAAATGTTAACAACTTACATGGAAATGCTTTGGTACATCTTTAGATTGACTGGAATCAGATTTGTTTCCATCAGAGTCATTCTTCTCATCATCAGACCCCTCCTCTTCATCTTCTTCGCCCTCTTCATCTTCACCTTCCTCATCCTCTTCAACCTCCTCTTCACTTTCTTCTGAAGTTGAGTTTTTACGTTTTTTTTTCGAGTTATTCAATGAAGCTTTTGATGTTCGTTTACGATCAGCACCACCACGAACTGGTTGTTCATTCTATAAAACAATAAGCATATAACTTAGATACTAAACTGGAACACAATATATAAACACTTCATAGTATCCGATTCACAATCCTAACGTCAATATAATTCTATATGATAATACTAGTATTAATAGGAATGTAAATATGAAGATTTTCTATTTACTTATAAAAGGTATTGAAATTTTAATATTCTGCTATTGCGTTTGTGTTATAACCTAGAGATTTGAATCTAAGAGGTAATACCGGCAAAATCTGCAATATTGGGGTGTAGAGAAAAACAAGACAAAATTCTGATAAAACCAAAGTATTATGCCTATAATATAAACATTATACATTTAATATCCTTGAGATCATCATATAACATTACCGGATCGGCATCCGGCGTCCAATCTTCTCCAGAATCCTGAAATTCTTCTGGTTCACCTCCACCTTCAGATCCGTCAGAATCGTCATTCGCTTTCTTTACTGACTTTCGTTTACGCATACTTAAAGCGGTTTAAATATATATTTTGTGAACAACAATCTGATAATAAGACCCACGCCGTTGTAAAATATTAACGACAATCAAATGAACAAACAGGGAAAGAAAGAAGGCGGTAGAATCATAGATAATATAATAATCTAAGTTGCCAACCTTAAAACTTTTTTTCTTATACAAAGAAGTACAAAAATCACGTATATTTGTGCTAATGAGAAATATAATAAAATACCATATGTTGTCACTAAAATCGGCTTAATATTAACAAATAGTATAATAAGGGTTGACACTAAAGAGAGTATGCGTCTCTATGAGTTAATACCTGGCACCAAAAATAAAATAGATTATATTTATGGAAGTGTGGCCACATTAGTGGTTTACTAAATCTGATGGATTTTACCACCTTTTGGTAGAAAAAAATTGTTTCTAGTTTTTTGTGGTAAGTTTATTTTTCTGAGGGCATTCTCTAATACTTAACTATCGCGCTGAACAGAAATAATACGCTGCGGCTCGGCGATGTAGGTTAACGATAAATATAAATACATTTAAAAATGTGAGGGAAGTTACCTAGTAACTAACTACCTAGTAAGAGCTAGTAAAGTGGAAAGAGGATTGTTAGCAATATGGATCATTGCTAGCAATATACCATGTCAGGTTGACCTCCTCACGGTTCCCCCTGGAAATCCTATCATAATAAATTCCAGGTGAATTTATCACGATAAGCTAATAACTGATCTGACCTCATGTTTTTATTACCATCCCCCATTGGTGCCCCACCAGCGTAAACCGTTAGCATAGGCGGTTGCTATACATTATCATTTAATAAAAAACCAAAGCTAGTCTGTAAAGACATTTAAATGGGTAGCTCGTTCTCACCGATTTCAGCCGCCAAGTAGCTTGCTTAAAGCTATGTCTCGAACATAGCTTTAAGCAAGCTACTTGGCGGCTGAAATCAGAAGGGTTAAGGGTGCGATTAGGCAGAGAAATTGTAGAATCTCTTATTCTACAATTTCTTCATTTTCATTTTCATGACACCTTAATTCCCGGGATTTATAAGTCATGTGTAGTGTCACCATAGTTCGATATAGTCGACGGTTACCACCTACAATCAGGTGATCCGTTAGTTTGTATGGTGTTCCAATTACATAAAAAAAGCGGATAAAATATAATTTTCTAAACATTACATTATTTATTACACATTAATTGATAAATTTTAATAATATGAAGGCTCAACATGCAAACAGTAATATGACTATGATGACTAACCACACTCTTTGTTTACTAGCTAGAATGATCATCGATTTTAAACACTAATAATGTTTGAGCGTGCTCTAAAATGTGAACTATATTTTAGGGCACGCTCAAACATTATTGGCAATACAGCTCTATGGTCATGTAACAAACATTTCTATAGTAGTATGGTTTTTGATACATTTGTAATAAAATAGATGTTTAATCTTAATGATACGGTAATATATGAAATAATAAAATATGTTGTAAATCTTGAAATATATATTTTTGAAGTAAAAGTCAATTTTAATATATACGCGTTCTTGACGGACAGTATATGTTATACTCTATGCTCATTGCATTGTCATATCAGCTGATTGCGTCATTGCATTTAAAGACAATAACGCAAAAACAAAAAACAAGTCGTAGTATCGAGCTTGGCTTCGCAGTGATCATTTTGGAAATTACAGTGTGCTTTAAATACCAAAATGAAGTTCCAATACAAGGAAGAGCATTCTTTTGAAAAACGGAAGACCGAAGGAGAGAAAATACGCAGGAAGTATCCGGATCGAGTACCAGTAATTGTAGAGAAAGCTCCGAAGGCTAGATTGGGAGACCTCGACAAGAAGAAATACTTGGTTCCGTCTGATTTGACCGTCGGGCAATTCTATTTTCTCATTCGAAAACGTATCCATCTACGACCGGAGGATGCGCTCTTTTTCTTTGTTAACAATGTAATTCCTCCTACTTCTGCGACCATGGGTTCTCTGTACCAGGAGCATCATGATGAAGATTTCTTCCTCTACATAGCCTTTTCTGACGAAAACGTTTATGGATTTATGTAAAATTTCTTGTTTGAACACCATTATGTTGATTCATGTAACCATATGGTGTGAAATTTAGTGTTAAGGCTTAGTTTAATATTGATGTATTATGTTAAAATGGTGATAATTTAATTTTAATTTGCAATTTCCACACACAACTATGTGATTACAATGTTGTTTTAGTTAATAATATTACACATACGGGAAATTTATTGAATCATTTCAATCTCTTTGTTTGGTTTAGGAGTGTGATTATTTCTATATCTATACAATAAACTATAAATAATATTGTTTCTTTCATTTACTTTTTAGACTATCACAATTCTATAGAATATTTTGTGTAATTAAGTGCATAATAGACTTTAAGGAAATAAATATTTTTCAACCTCTAGTACAAAAAAACACTAATAATATACTCAAACTAAGCAAGGCAAGTTGGTTGTCAACTGAAACTAGTAGTCATGAATGTTATATATATACTATACAATGCTCAAACTAGTTTTTAATAGTTGGAACAATAATAATGAACTAAATATAATACATTATACTATACAATATACAGGGTTAAATTTATAGAACCTTTCACAACTGTGTAAACAGTATATAGTTCATTTATAAGAATACTCTGCATATTTTGTGTGTAAGGAAACATGGGAAGTATATACTCGATACAAAATACTGAAAAAAATATTGTCCTCTGCTGGGATAATTACACTCATCTATTCTAGCCTGTAAATATATGTTATGAAGCCAAAAGCTATACCTATCTGCTGTAATTGATCAGTCAATTATTAGGCACAACTAAAATTAATTCACTTTAATCAGTAGTGCTCAGACATAAGCTTGCAGGTTTAATCTTATTTGCTGTAGCTATGTTACTTAGGAAGGATCATCATTATAAGTACTATGCAATTATTATATCTATCAAAACAAAAACTTCTCCTCGGAAAAAAGTCAATCATTATAATTATGTTGTAGTAATTCCGCCCTCATGGAATCACCTATGGGATGTAAATGTAGTATTTATACATGTACCCACCTGAACTATAACTGATTCACCAAGGAAGTCACATATTATAGTAGCACTTGCCATCTGTAGCCAAGTCCTCATTCCTTAGAAATAAACATTTTCTTCGGTTCGTCAATGCTCACCTCGCCTTAATAATATTGTAGGAATCATAATGGACACTGCTAGTGAGGCATTGGTTTATATATCTGCTTCATAACTGCTGGCCTGCGATCGTTATACTACACTACTATATGATGAATAGGATTTACTAGTTACAGAGGCCTTATTGCCTAGATATTAATTTTGACACGTTACATACTGTGGTTAATTTCTAATTAATTCGCCAAGTTCTATTAACTGACCTGACTTCTCATACTTACTATCACTATTATCCATTGGTGTCCGCGGGATATACTGTTAACACAGGAGGGTGTATTAAACTTGTTCATTACTATTACTCATAGGATATGTAAATTATATAATCTAAACAACTATTTTCATATCTAAGAAATATTTAAGGTAATATTGAATCATTTTCTCATTACAAAAATCACAATATATGTGATATTTATTGATGAAAGCTCCCAGACGGTTTGACATATTTGAACTAATGTACACAAATCCTTAATAAATATTATACGGCACGGTATTATTACAAAAAAATTTACGTTCATAAGCGGCTAAATTGTCCTACATATGAAAATATTTTAGATTTGATTACAGCTTTCTCAGAAATGACTCTGTTGGTGGATAAAATATTCATAAAAATGCGTTCCATAGCAACGATCACACATATGCGCCGAAAGAAATTATTTTATAACACAGAACAATACAATATGTAGTGATGTGTATATATGTAATAAGCAGTATGCTATTGAGTTCGCAGTGTTAGTTTTCCCATTATTTCTAATTTAAATATCATTACCTTCACAACCTCTGTATCTTTAATGTGTTGTGAGATGAACAGAGAGAGAGAGAGCACCGTCAGAACTACTTGTATACACTAGCGATATACTAGTAAAAGAGAAGTAAAACCACGTCAAACATGTTACTAGGCTCCTATAATAACGATTAGTCTAGTTGTTGAAACTTTCATGATACTATGTAGGTACGTAATATTAAGTAAGCTTAAGCACTTAAGGTACCTCTATCTTGTGACCTCTTTATAACAATACCTTTTTATATCAAAGAAATTTCAAATACTTTTAGAACAATGAATGTTTTCAAAACTAATCTTATCGGATCCTACTTTTACGCACAAAACAAAATCATATGGCTCTTTTTTTGCATAACACAACAATACGAGTTTCAATAATTATCTGATAAGCATAATTAATACAAAGACAATAAGAATCCTAAACCTCTAAAATAATAACAAGAATCCTCTAAAAACGATAGTGTGATTCGGATGCGCAATTCTTTACAAGAAGTCCGAACGAATAAAGGAAACTAGTTTTTGTTTCCTTTATACGATTAACTTGAAGTAATATTTAGACAAAAAGAAAAAAAGGTTATCTATTAATTGGTAAAAGACTAAATATAAAATAGGATAAACACCATTGTAAATAAAGATTTTTTTTATTGTATCATTGGACCGAGTATTTGAAACTATATTACAAATCCATCCATTTAAAATAAATAAATTACATAGATATACCTACCTGTTACCGGTTTGATTTGTATGACGAACAGCATACTACCACATCACGTTATTAGGTAAAGCCCTTGATACCTATCTTGTGTTGAAATTCCAGAGACCTAACGTTCCTTATTCTGCAATTTCACTTCATAATTCGCCCTTTTGAATCGAAACATAGCACACATTTTCGCAATACAGTACAGTACAATATCATATATATATATATATATATATAATATATATTGTATAAACTCGGATTTTTTTCAGATTTTATACTTATTTTAAATATACTTATTATGCATATTTTAGTAATAATCCTGTATTGTTAACAGCTGAAATGCGTATTACCTTAATGTATAAGTATTTAAAAAACTCGGATAAATTTAAATTGTAAGGAAAAAATAATGAAACTATGAGAAAGTTGACAATTTTGGTTTATTTCTATGTTTCATAAACAATTCAGACAAAGATGTATGGAAATGTTTTCTTAAATATAATGAAATGTTCAGAGAATAAGTATTACTTATTAAGTTATTACACACATGAGCACAAATATAATGTAAGTAGTACCATCATAATAGTTACCTACAGAAAATTGATGTAACATCCGCACGAACATAATTTGAAATACGTTATTGAATCAATTATATTTAGTTCAGTTTTCTTATTAATTAATAACTACACTAATGGTATCAATAATATGCAAGTCAGGTATTGAAATATGACCACTTAAATTATTATTCATCATCACTACTTTAAACATCAATAAAGTTTAAGCAATGAATCCTAAAGAAACAAAAATTACAAATTAAATTTAGTTGGCAGAACTTATAAATTCAATAAAAAAAATTACATATTAATTATAAATTACGCAGAAATGTATGTAACGTATCACATAGGTCCATTAAATCTAGTACATTTATTTTTATTTATTCGATACACCGTTTATTATTATAGTCGATAACAGGAAAATGACTTATTTATGGGAGCATTTAATACCTCATATGATAATTATGATTTCTTCGTGATGGACGCCCTCTTGATCGCATTCCACGACCTCGTGGACCGCTTTCACTATCTGTAAGTGTATAATATATTATAAAAGATATAATAAAAATACATATAAATAACTAGCTTTTCCGGCAAACTTTGTTTTGCATATGAATACATATAGCTATTAAAAAATAGGGGTTGATGGTAGAAGGGTGGAAATTTAAGGATGTAATGTATTTGTAATTCCAAATAATAAAAACGTGTGACACGAGAATTATCACACGTTTTTTATATTTGGAATTACAAGATATAATAGTAGCATATATGACTATATTCATATTGTTGGGGATTTCGGAGGTCTGTCTTAATGTTGACACCAACACAAAATGACATCTTGAACTGCAAATATGTATATACTTTAAACGAATGCCTCTATTATTATAAACAAAACTATGCTACTATATAATTATATTTAACAAATTTAAACGTAATAATTAATGCATTTTTATCAATATCAGTAAAGTGATTTCATGATTCAAATAAATTACTTCTTGTAAAAATACTCTACATATAAGTAATGTAGTAAGCAACTGAAATAATTCTATGAATACAAATGCTTGTACGAAACAAATGAAGAACTATCGTAAATTGAGGACATGTATTAAGTCGTCTTTATCGCCGTAGTTCGATTAAAATTCTAAATTTGACTGTATTTTTTATATGGTATGTACTTAACAGTAAGGTCATATAACAACGACCTTACAGCAAGTTGTTATTATCCAACCTTGCCATTACGCTACTCTGTCGTTTTATTTGTTGAACTGTCATTATGAGACCAACCTGTACAATATGGGATTGAATACATTTTTCAATACAAACCATTTATCAAAAGAAAGTAGAGTACTACGTACGTACTACTTCCTTATAAGTACGAGTAAATGGATCTGAATTATGTATACAATATAATCACAATAAATTAGAGCTAGTGTAACCCGCAATAATAACGCCAAGTTGTAAAAAAATGGTATTATACCACGCATTAAGTCGTTAATCGTACAAAAAGTATTTATCATCAGTTTCTGCAAATACATAGTATGCTACAAGAACGCTTAAAATAATTATATTCATCATTGCCTTGCCTTTATCCCATTATTTGGGGTCGGCACAGTATGTCATTCTCTTCCACTGCTCTCTATCGGTCGTCATATCTGAGCATACTCTTCTTTTATTCATATCATCTTTCACACAATCCATCCATCTTTTCTTAGGGTGTTCCCTCCCTTTATATCCATCCACATTCATATAAGACATGATCCTCGTTCCTCCGTATAACATGCCCATACCAGCTCAATCTGTTACCTCGCAACTTTTCTATAACCGACGCAACTTTCAAACTTCCTCTTTCCTTCGTACACATTCCTTATTCTGTCATTCACCAGGACTCCACTTAAAAGAATTATATTATTTTCGAAAATTTACATAATATAAATTGCGAGATGTGGATAATAAATAATTTGGGTAATGTATCAATACTGATTTCTAAATGTAAAAAAAATAACTAGTAACTAATTTTAGGTCACAATATGTACTATGTTAAGACTTAATATTACAGATTTTTGAGATAAAGTACTGTTCACACACTGTGCTTGTACACACTTGTACTGTGCACAAGTACTACTTAGCTTGGCACTGAATAGCTCTGTGTGAATTGGGTTGTTTTAGGGTTTTTATTTATATAATTATTGGCTCATGAGGCAACAGATTCTTATGACCAGTTTTGTTTTGATCGAAATCTTCTAAAATGTTTAATATCATTATAAAGCCTAGTGAATGTAAGTTGGCAGCAACGAGAGTGCTGGAGCAGCACGCTATTCTGAATTAATATAATTGTGAGCTGACTGCATGTAATGGCACATGAATAGTTATTTATATTTATTATTCATAGAGTAAATCAGCCAGCTCCTGACGACGGCTAGTGTAACTTACACGCAACTTCGCGAGACCTTATTTACCATAAAGTTATTTGTGTTCAGACTCGATTAACTATATTATTATCACAAATTTATATTAATAGGTAACTTAGTTTGTTCAGTACTCACTAGATGCCATTGTACAAATTTACTATGAATGGCATTATTGTTGTTATATGTAGTAAAACTATTTATGATTGGAAAAATGTATTTAATGGATCTTACCATTAAATACATTTTTCCAATCGGTAGAGATTGAAGTGACATAATATAATTTTGTTTTTATAGTTTTGATTATAGAATATAATGAAATGAAATGAATATGAAATTAAATTAAATGAATATTTATTGCTTAAAATATGGTACATATGTGGTTTTTAAGGTCTTTAGAATTAGTTTCACACATTTTGTCATTTCTGATATGCAACAGACAAAACAGATGTCAATTTTGGTTATTATTCGTTAGTCAATATTAATATAAAATTGTAAATATATCCATATATATATAATATATATACATTGTAAACATCATAAACCTGACCAATCCTTTATCCTACAAAATTCCGTTCTACTCCGTATATTTCTGTGTATATTTCCCTAACTTTGATATTGGCTAAATGCGAAGGCAAAGCCAAAGATGGAGGAGGAGAGAAAAAAAAAGCACGTACATTATTTATAATATGAGTATGTCAATTTCGTATTAATGAAATATTTATAAATTATACATGTCAATGTTTTTAATTAAGTATGTACTCCTGAACACTGTAGTAAGATTTGCTGATTAGCCATCTATGTAGTTCTTTCTTGAATTTATATACATACAAGGCAAAGTCAATATGTTAAGTCTTTGAAACAATGGCTTACAACTTGCTAGAACAAGTTGTAAGCCATTGTTTCAAAGACTTATTTTTGAAAAAAAAATTGCTGGTAGGCTTTTTTTTTGACAGACAAAGGCTCTGTTTATTTCTACAGAGTTACCCCACAAAATCAATCCGTATCTTAGCCTGGAAGCAACATAGCCGTGATAAGCAAGTATAGCCGTTTTGCTACCAGCAACCTTTGTTAACCGCCATAAAGCGTATATGAATCTGTTTATTTTATTATAGATTGTTTCGACATGTTCTTTCCACCTACAATTTTTGTCTAAAACAATTCCCGGGAAGGTTATTGATTTTGTTTCATTGATAATCTGACCATTATGAGTAATGACGAGATTATGAGTATTATTTGCATATTGATTATGAAATTGTATCATATGTTTTATTTACATTTACGTTTAAATTATTGTTTGTCAGACAACTTATAATATCATTGATTGTATTATTTATTGTCATTGTTATATAATGTTAGATTTTTCGCAGAGTCAGGAATAATTAAAGCAATGTCATCAGCATAGAGATTACACATATGTTTAGTTACATTTGGCAGATCATTTATATAAATCAGGAAAAGAAGTGGTCCCAATATACTACCTTGTGGTACTCCTACACTGTTTACTTTTACATTAGATTTATATGTCTTTTCCTTATTATTTTGATTAATTGTTGTTATTTCTACATATTGGGTTCTGTTATTAAGGTAGTTTTGTAGCCATTTCAGGGCTAAACCTTTTAATCCATATTTTTCACATTTTTCTAGTAATATTTTGTGCGATACGAAATCAAATGCACGGCTCATATCAATGAAGATGGCAGTAAGTGACACTTTGCTGTCAATGTAATTCATCATTGTAGTAATTAATTTGTATGCAGCAAGCGTAGTGGATTTACCTTCTGAAATCCATTTTGCTCATCTTTTAATATTTCATATTTTCCAAAAAATGACATTATTCTAAAGTACATTGCTTTTTCAAATATTTTTGAAAGTGTTGTTAATAGTAAAATAGGTCTGTAATTTTCCGCATGCAACTTATCACCCTTTTTGTGAATTGGTTTGACCACAGAGATCTTTAATGCTTGTGGAAATGCGCCCTATATAAATTATTTATTTACTAAGTAGCATAGAATAGGTGCTAGTATTGATGATGTCAATTTTAATAATTTTATAGGAAAATTGTCATATCCCACTGATTTTGTATTCTTTAGCGAGTTGATGACTTTAATAGTTTCGTAACGGTCAATAGGTAGTAAGAAAATACTGTTATCATTAGATATAATGTTATACTTATTACTGGTCATATTTGAGACGTCATTAGTTAAATTTATAAAATAATCATTAAATGTATTCGCAGTTTTACTAGGATCAGTTATTGTTTTATTATTATTTAAGATTTTATTGACACTGGATTTGTTTATTCTTTGTTGTCCCTTTGTTGTTTATTGCCCTTTATCACATTCCAAGAGGATTTACATACATTTTGAGATTTTGTAATGTATGCTTCATTACTCATTTGTATCGCGTTGTTTATGCACTGTTTAAGAATACGTGTATATTTACGGTATTTGGTTTTAATTTTTGAACTACCAGTTTTGTAGTACGTAAATATCAAATTTCTTTTAGTGACCGTTGCCTTTTTAATTCCCTTTGTAATCCAGCGCGTCCAGGTCTTTTATTGTGAACTTTCATTTTGTGTACAGGAAAGCAAAGATTAAAGAACAATAAAAGGGTTTCATGAAAAAGATTAAAGCTTTTATCCAGATCATCTTCATAAATTTCTGATCACGTTAAACTGTTTAGGTACTCATAAAACTTGTTTATATTTTCTGAACTGAAGTCACGATATTCCCTTATCCAGTATTTCGGTACATGATTTTGATCGTTTACAGGTAATGGTAGCAGTTGAGCTGTCATGGTCAGATAGTCCCAAAGGAAGAAGTTCCCCTATTGCTTGAGGGATGTTACTTATTATTAAATCGAAGCAAGACTTTTTTCTAGTTGGATTATTTATATGGATGTTATAGTTATAGTTTTGTATCAGCCGATGTAAATTTTGTGTGACTTCGTTATTGTTTAAAATATTTATATTAAAATCACCTGTTATTATGACTTTTTTGTTTATTTTATTTCTAAGTTTTGTCATTACTATGTCCAATTGTGTCAGAAATTCGTAGGGATTGGACATTTGATTATCTGGAATCCGGTATATGCAAATAATTAATATATTATACTGTATCAATTCTATTCCACAACATTCAAATATGAATTCTTTAGTAATGTCTTTTATGAATAGGATTTGTTTGTATTCTATATCATTTCTACATAAAATACATACACCTCTACGTTTCTTTTGTCTAGAATGAGTAGAAACCCATGAAGTTGAATATTTGCTTCTGTACCGCATTTAATAAAAGTTTCACTCAAACATAATACATCTACTTTTTTTTGCTTTTGTGCCAGTTCTTCGAGTGTTATCTGTAGAATATCTCTTTTACTTAGAAAGCCTGCTATATTTTGGTCTAAATATACTAATTTAGGATATTATTATTATTCACGAAAAGTCATTAGTTCGTGTATCAGTGTCTATATTTATGCACGTTTAATTGATTTCTTTTAATAATAGGAAAATAGTCGAGTAGAGTTTTTTTAGCCTTTGAATTTGTATCTTCTTGTAATTTGTCGATGATTGAAGTTTTTAATGTCCTTTTTTTAGTAAATGTCAAAAATTTTGTTTTACAGTTAATACTGTCAATGACAATATTTAAATGCATACACAATTCCGTCAGTGATGTCGTTTCTTTCGTTATGAGATGACAATTATTAAAGTTGCGAGAAATAATATATAATTGTTCATTCAGTTTTTTTCATTTAGGTAGTTGTTTTTATAAGAAAACTTAAATTAAAAATTAAATATATCAAGAGTTTCTCAACAATTATAAACATATTTTTACCTTTCATAGCCGTTAATAGAAATAAAAAAAAATGTAATTCAACATATTAAATTAAATCGATATTTTCATAAGAACGTCAATGTATTTTCCTATTCTATGGAAAATTGTTAAGAGTACGGATAACAGTATAACGCCATCTAGCGAGCACCAAACAAATTAAGTTACCCCAAGATTAGCAAAAACCCAGCCACAAGGCGACGTACCTGCGGCGCGCATCCAGCGCTGGGGCGGGGCTGGCGCTGGCGCGGGGGCGGGCGCGGGAGCGGGAGCGGGCGCGGGTGAGGGCGCGGGCGTACGTCTGGGCGCCGCCGCCGGCGCGCTCGCCTCCGCTTCACGACCCTCCCACGCTATCTGTTCCACACAATACCAACCCACATCTAACTTCAGCCTCACGTCAATTGCATATAGTAATAAAAAAAAAAGAAGTGTTTTTATACAAACTACGCCTATTGATCGAAATTCGACCACAATTAATTTAAATTATAAGTACATTATTAAGATTCTATTATAACAGGTAATAAACTTAGATATATATGTGGGTATTAAATATATGGTATTGTTTTTTATTGATTTAATGCATAATTAAAAAAAATATTCAGCATTCCTCTATATAAACTATTGTGTAAGTGTGTTAAATATAATACTCTTCCGCGTGTGAAATTTTAAATAGTTTTTGTTTCACGTATTAATATATGGATAACTCGATAAGGTTCAACTTTTGATACTTTTCATCACATTAATTTTATGTTATATTAAAATGATACCCACCCCATGCTGAGGAGAAGAAGGCTCGCTTCCCTGTGAACTGACCGCTGTAGTCTCTTCTTCAGCACGAGATTCTTCCCAGTCCCGACTTTCAACTCCTTCTGTACCTAAACGTTACAAAATTTTATTTAATTATTCTGAAGGTATAAAAAAAATAATTCTTTGAACAATGGACGTGGTAATATAATTGGCTAATAAGTTTTGTAAATACACTATGTAAAAACTAACTGTGTCCGCATCTTCGTGCGATTAATTAAAATAATGATAAGTAAACGCTTGCTTACTTATTAACTATATTTACTATAATATCAGATAAAAATAAACAAATAATAATCATCCATCCATACGGATGTTTGTTACTGTTTCACACAAAAAGGAATGTGGGGAAGGGGATCGTACGTCATGTGGCTTCCTCTCGAAACCATCGAGACTATTCGTGACATTCTTGGTCAAATTGCTACGACGGGCTAACTGACCTGACCTCATCTTATCACCGTCCACCGGTGCCCCGTCAGCGTATACCGTTAGCGCAGACGTGTGCCCCATTCCATTGTCATCTAATAAAAAAAATATAATAACGCATGCGTGACGTACGTGGGTCTGCGTGCGCGGAGGGCGGGAGCGCGGCGGCGAGGTCCGCGTGCGTGTCGTGGTGCGCCGCCGCGCCCGCGCCCGCGCCCCCCGCGCCCCCCGCGCCCGCCGCGCCCGCCGCGCCCGCCGCGCCCGCCGCCTCCGCGAACGTGAACCGCGCGCCCGCAGCGCCCGCCGCGCCGCCCGCGCCCACCGGCGACACCACCGCCTCGCCGAACCTGCACGCACACCGCGAGACGTTAACACATCATCCAAACATTATTTCTCACGTATTAATAGGTTTGTTAATCATGTATGTATATTATTTTTTAAATATGTCTTTAGTGAACAATAATTTGAGGTATGCATTATTTAACCCCTAGATGTATTCAATTTAAGTGCCAACGTATCGAAAGTTACTTTCGAAGCGGAATGAAATGAACCGGTGGGCATGCACTTTGCATAACGCGTTAGGTCCTCTCGCTCAGAGTGCTCAAACAAAGCCATAAAATGCGTACTTTAGCGCCTTTTTAACATAATCATTTTACGCGGGAATACGCCAGCTATGTATGTGTAAAACCAGCTACTAAAAAGATGTAAAATATTTTCATTAAAAAAACCAAAACAATTGGATTAGTATCATAAGTGTAATAAGTTTCGTGTGTTTGTATATAGTATACAATTTAAACAAACCCATCATTCCGTCGCGGGACGTAAAGTGTAGGCGTAGATGGAACTATGCTGTCATCGCCATCGTCGCCGCCATTGCCACCTAACGACAGTGCTCCGCTTGCTACAAAAACATTAAAATACTGTTAAAAGTGTTATGAAATTACAAATTTAATCACCGCTTAGTGCAGTCATGCGTCAAATAGTTAGAAAACAGTCCACAACAACTACTATATTTTAGTTTTGATAATAATATTTTAAATAAATAATGTATGATCAGTTAATTATAATTAGTTAAAATGCATTAGCACTAATATACTGAGTAAAAGTGATAAACTAATTTCTTAAACAGCCACATCCTAAATACTTTTTGAATATATTTATATATATCTAAAAGGTCTAAAAAAATACGATTCAAAAAATCATTATCGCAGGTGTGCTGTACCTAGCTACACCCGGTAACATTTCTTTCATTCTGTTTATCCTGCCAAAATGAACTGCGCCTATACAGCCAGCTGATAACATTATTTCAAAAATGACATTAACACCTGTCAATTTAGTCTCCGATATTAAAAAACTACAAAAAATTTAAGACTATTAGTAAGAATGCGGGGAAACATAGAATTTGGTGGTCGTGTTTTTTAGATAAGAATTAAATAAAAATTTAATAGTGATCAGTTAAGTTAGATATTGTAGATATTTTCACTCTTTTATATATATTTTATTTCTTTATTAGTGTAATTATAGTAGCTGTAACATAGGTAAGTCATAATTATTTAATTCATATATGGACCCTCCTGAGGATCCTGGGGGCACAGGCCCTCAGGTGGGTCTCCACGTAACTATTAGCAATAATGAAAATGACTCCATGGATACTGATTGCTCTTTTACCCTAGTGGAGAATTTGAAAGTTAAACGAAAACGTATATCTGCTACTCATGTGTGGAAACACTGTAACAAAAAGCGAAGAAGAAATCGCGGTTCTAAAGGAAACTCTAAAAATCAAGAGAACACTTGTCAATGCGCTGTTGTAAATGAAGGTGATCAACCTTCTTCTAATACATGTACAAATATAGAGGATAATGAGAATAAGGTCGAGCAACCTCCTGTGACATGTGAAAATAATGAGGATAAAATGGATAATGCTGGTTCAAGTCAGTTATGACCATCAGTAGCTAGGCTTTATTATCAATCAGGTGATGCGGCACCTTATGTAGTCCATATCCAAAAGGAGCAGTCTTCGCCGGATGACAGAATTACTGTACACCAAATTGCCTTTGGTCGCCTCTTAAAAAATTGTGTTTATAAAAATGTTATTAATGGTAGTTTGAAAAAAATTGGTAGGAATAGACTAGCTTTGTCATTCTCTAATTTTATTGATGCCAATTCCTTCATTGATTGTGACCGTTTAAAACAACAGAACTATAAAGCATTTGTCCCCTCTTTTAATCTTACTAGAATAGAAATTATTAAGGGTGTTCCCTCAAACTGATCCCTTGAAGAGGTAATAAGTAAAATTTCAGTCCCACTTGGCTGTGGAGAAATACTTAAAGTTAGAAGGATTAGACGTAAGAATATTATTAATGATGAATCCATATTTGTTGACACAGAAACTGTTATTATAACTTTTAATGGTCAAATACTTCCTAAACGTGTATTTATGTGTTACAACTCATTGCCTGTAGATATTTACATATACCAAACAATACAATGTTATAACTGTTGTTGATATGGTCATGTTAAGGATCAATGCCGTTCTACACCACGGTGCTATAAATGTAGTAAAGGACATTCAGGTGAAAACTGTACACAGCAAGAAGACTTCTGCTGCTGTCTATGTCTTGGAGATCATCAAGCTAACAGTAAAAACTGCCCGGAACTATGGAGACAAAAAGCAATAAAAGAAACTATGGCTAAAATCTGTATATCTTATGCAGAAGCCAGCAAATTGCATGGTCCTGTAACAAAATCGTATGCTGACACAGTTAAAACTAATTCTTCTATCATAACTGCGGAACATTTAAATAATACTAAACCCCAAAATACTCTATCTTGTAATATAATCAATAGGTCATATAAAAAAACCATTGTACAAAAACCCCGTCAACCTCCAAAATTATCACATGGTTATGATGTAAACATACATAAGCAATTAATAAAAGATTATAATCCTCCTACTCCTGCAGATGGCTGCGGTTATAATTCTGTAGCTGATCAGAATTTACCAAATCAATTTACAGAATTAATCATGGCTTTAATTAAATTGCTGACTGAGTCTAATTCTATTGTACCGTCCAACGCAGCTTCTCTATTTAGTGCTCTTCTTCAAATCTTCAACAACAATGGCTCCATTGGCCAAAGTTCTCCAGTGGAACTGTCGTAGTATTATTAATAAAAAAAGTGAATTATTTCATATTTTAAATAAAAATAAACCTTTTATTTGTGCCCTTCAGGAGACATGGCTGAAAACCATATTTACTTTTAAGATACCGGGTTATGCTTGTCTCAGAGAAGATAGGACAGATGGGTATGGTGGTGTCGCTATACTCGTGCGACATTTAGTTCCTTATTCACATATACCTATTGATCATAGCAGTAATTTTTCCATATTAGCTGTCCAAGTTAACAACATTTGTTATGTATCTTTATATAAACCTCATCCATCAACTTCTATTTTTAATGAACTTAATAATATTCTTTCTGCCCTTCCCAAACCTTTATTAATACTAGGAGATTTAAATTCACAACATCAGTCCTGGGGTAGTACAACAAACAATTCATATGGCCATCAAGTTTTAGAAATATTAGATACCCTTAACCTGTGTGTATTAAATACTGGCCAACTTACACGTCGTACTCCACCTAATGAAGGAAATAGTGTTCCTGATCTTTCCATCTGTTCACCTACTCTTGCAACATCCCTTGGTGCCCCTTGTCACTGTCATTTGGAAGTGATCATTTCCCTCTTATCTTTTCTTTTCCTTTTATTCATAAACCACTACCAAAATATGAACCAAGGATGAAATATAAGCTAAATAATGCTGATTGGGATACTTTCAATAACGTCATTGCATCTAAAATCTCATCACTGCCTATTATTACTCAAGGCACTGAAACCATTTGCTCTAATGCATTCACTGAAGTATTAATACAGGCTGCTAATGAAGTTTTTCCTAAAAAATCTTCTTCTAAGAATACAATACCTTCACCACCATGGTGGGACAGTGAATGTACTGAAGCTATTAGGAAAAGAAAAAATGCTGAAAAACAATACAATTTACACTCTACATTGGAAAACTTTGATATCTTCTGTAATATATCCAGAACTACCCGTAAATTGGTAAGAGATAAGAAATTAACAGGTTGGAAGAAATTCTGTTCATCTATTTCTCCCAATGTGAATGCATCTATAGTCTGGAGAAATATAAGAAGATTTAGAAGTGCATTCCACGATTCTAAATCAAATGTACTTCCTCCTCATATGGTTGAATGTTTCCTAGACAAGTTAGCCCCTCCCTCAGTTCCTGAAAAAGTTTTGTTGGATAAAGTTGTAATTACCTCTGATATAGATAATTTCTCTAAATTAAATGCTCCATTTTCGTTACCAGAGCTTAAGGGAGTCCTTACAAAAGTTAAAGATTCTGCACCTGGAGAAGATGGAATACCATATTCTTTTTTTTCACACTTAGATAGTACATCTCTCTCCTATTTCTTAGATATCATTAACTCAATTATGATATCTGGTAATATTCCTGCTTTATGGAAGACTCAAAATATAATCCCCATTCTAAAACCTGACAAAACTCCATCTGACATTGCTTCCTACCGTCCTTTAGCGCTATCTTCAGTTCTGCTTAAACTGTCAGAACATCTGATCAAAAACCGTCTGGAATGGTATATTGAAAGTAACCACTATTTATCAGATAGTCAATATGGCTTTAGTAGAGGGAAATGTACTCTTGATAGTTTAAGTTTGTTTATAAAGGATATTCGTTTAGCCTTTTCCAGAAATGACTCTGTACTTGCAACCTTTTTGGACATAGAATCTGCTTATGATAATGTTTCTTTCCAATACTTAAGCAGAAACTTGATATATTATATATTCCAGTTAAACTGTCAAATTTTATAATTAATATTCTTACTGAAAGAACTATTATTATAAATTCTGATGACACTGGAATCTCATCTAGAGTAGTATGGAAAGGACTCCCACAAGGTTCAGTTCTTAGCCCCTTATTATACAACCTATACACTTATGATTTAGAATAGGCTGTATTAAGTAATATGAATAATAATGTTTTTATTTTACAATATGCAGACGATCTGCTTTTTTATGCCATAGACAAATCTGTTCAAAAATGCTGTTTGCATTTGACATCTGCATTAAAATATCTAAAGCTTTGGTTTGATCAGAATGCATTGCAGTTGTCACTTAACAAAAGCAATGCAGTTTTGTTCTCTAGAATGCGTATGCCTCCTCCTATTTCTATATTATAATAATTGTCTTTTACCTGTAAAAAGTCAAAGCAAATTTTTAGGAGTAATACTAGATTCAAAACTAATTGGACTTCCCCATTGCGAATACATTACTTTAAGATGTGAACGATTATTAAATATTCTTCGATGTTTGTCTGGAACTTGGTGGGGCGCTCATCCGTGTTCACTCAAACTGTTATATAACGCCATTATTAGAAGTATATTGGATTACGGCACATTTCTACTAGAGCCGGGTAGCTCAGCTGGTCTTAAAAAACTGGATGGCATACAATCAAAGGCTTTACGAATTGTAACTAGGGCTATGCGATCAAGCCCGATAAATGCATTGCAAGTGGAATGCTAAGATCCGCCATTGTATTTAAGACGTCAATATCTTTCTGATAAATTTTTATTTCGCAGTGCACAATGTACTACTCATCCCCTATTTAGTAAATTAAAATTATTATCTAATTATATTAATAATTCTGAATACTGGCGTCATAAATCTATTCCTTGTATTATAAAGAGCTTCCAGAAATTTTCATCTCTTACATCTCCTACTCATCGTTCACAATATTTTCCCATCTTCTGTACGAATTATGAATCATTAATTCATGAACCAAGTATAATTTTTGACCTTAATATTCATAAAAATCACGACTCAAATATAGAATATAACTCAACTGTAGACAAGAAATGGCGGAATTGGCACCGAATTTTTTGTGATACATCTAAACATCATCCAACTGGATGTGTTGGGATCGGAGTTTACCATTCAAAATATAAAATAGTCCAAAAAATAAAACTTCCTCCAGAAACATCTGTATTTACTGGTGAAGTTTTGGTATTTACAAAGCTCTTGAATATATATTAATTACGAAACTTCAGCAAACAATAGTGTGTACTGATTCCAGAAGTGCACTGTTAGCTCTTCAAAAATTTCCATTTAAATCAAATATTAATTATCCTATTATCATAGAAATCAGAAAATTGCTGCAGTTATGTAACTCGAGGGGGTTCTCTGTCTCGCTTACGTGGATTCCAGGACATACTGGCATACATGGGAATGAGATAGCAGATCGCTTAGCGAACGAGGCAATTGAATGCGGTGATATTGTTCCATATAAAAATTATTGTCATGATCTGGCTGCTCTCCCAGGATTATATCTACATAATGCTTGGAGTGAATTTTGGCCTAATAGCTGTCAGAATAAGGCGTGACATTATTTTAACATTCAACCAGCTATTCAGTTTAAACCTTGGTACTTCAAAATTAATTTGAACAAAAGCGAGACTACGTCAATAATTAGAATGAGATTGGGGCATGTATGCTCTCCTGCACATCTAGCTAAGCTAAAAATTGTGGATAATGATATATGTAGCTGTGGTACAGAAGTGGGTGACTTGAACCATATCATTTTCAGTTGTCCTCTGTATGATCATTCCTACCTTTTAATCTTCTTCTTAATGATCTCCTATCTCACCGAATTCCTTTACCTACATCAATTCCAATTTTATTATATCTTAATGATATCGATGTGTATAAAAGTATTTCGATTTTTCTAAGTAGTAATAATATAAAATTGTAAATATAAAACTGACTGCCTCTATATAAATATATCATATGTAAATAGTTGTCTGTTAATATATTAAGGTCTTATATAAGTATATTGACATAGTGTACCCATCGAGTGTTTGCTGAAAACCAAATTTTTACACATATTTATCATTAGGAGAATTTATATCTACCAGGTTGCCTATCAAAATGTGGCCGCTAGTATTTTTAACTAAATTATTAATAATTCATAATCCGTAAGAAATTTCATTGACTTGTTTTTTCAGTAAAATGTCGTTCACTTTACGGCAACATCAATAAAGACTGTGAAATATCATGGTTGCCGTTGCGCACCTGGCCGCACCTCTTCGCAGCCAGGTGTACACAGGTATGATTTTATTACATTTATACACCCACAACGTACATTCATAATTTATATATCAAATTAAAGCTAATTTTTTCTGTTTATTATCATATACGGTTGCCTAATTAAATCTGGCCGCAAATAAGGGTTGCTGGCTATTAAATATAGTAAATATTAAAAGTAGAGTGAAAGAGAGCTAGCGCGTAACACCACTAGTCAAACGAGGATAGCGATTGCCAGCTGTCGGACAGTTTAAAGCCATTGCGCATGCGTCAGATGCTAGTGTTCTCAACCTCCGATTCAAACAATAGTAGGTACGCCTCAAAATAATAAATACTCCAAAAGAAACGTCTTTCTTTTCAAAATAATAAATTAATTTTTTTCTTACGACGAAACAATAACATTAGAGAACACTTTTTAAATGAAGCATTATCAAAGTCTAGTACATTACATTTTTTGTCGCACAGAAAACACGCCTTCATCTTTATAAATTTTATTTCGCACTGATGAGATTGATAATTTTTCGATGCACAAATGAAACAGCAATATATTATGTTGTGTATTACGTACTCCAAAACAGCGTGGTTTTTAACTTAGAATAAAAGTCGCAACTGATCCATTGAGAACACTAGCATCTGACGCATGCGCAATGGCTTTAAACTGTCCGACAGCTGGCAATCGCTATCCTCGTTTGACTAGTGGTGTTACGCGCTAGCTCTCTTTCACTCTACTTTTAATATTTACTATATTTAATAGCCAGCAACCCTTATTTGCGGCCAGATTTAATTAGGCAACCGTATATGATAATAAACAGAAAAAAATTAGCTTTAATTTGATATATAAATGATGTATGTACGTTGTGGGTGTATAAATGTAATAAAATCATACCTGTGTACACCTGGCTGCGAAGAGGTGCGGCCAGGTGCGCAACGGCAACCATGATTTTTCACAGTCTTTATAGATGTTGCCGTAAAGTGAACGACATTTTACTGAAAAAACAAGTCAATGAAATTTCTTACGGATTATGAATTATTAATAATTTAATTAAAAATACTAGCGGCCACATTTTGATAGGCAACCTGGTAGATATAAATTCTCCTAATGATAAATATGTGTAAAAATTTGGTTTTCAGCAAACACTCGATGGGTACACTGATTCTGCAGCGGGATCTCGGACCACAATTGCACAGACGTGCCAAGCAATAAAGAAAAAAAAAAAGTAAGAATGCTTTTTTTACGAGTTTGGTATACTGACGCTCAGTGCCGCTGCTGATGGCCTCTATCTGCTGGTGCGCGGCGGGCGGCTGCGCGTCGTCTGCGGCGGCCGCGCCCCCCGCCGCCCCCGCGCCGCCCGCCTCGCCCTCCGCGCCCGCCTCCGGGGACTGCACCGGAGACTCCTGCACACACACGCCTCCCTCTCTTGTAATACTATCATTGTACAACCGACCACACACACGATCGATCGATAGTTCGTCGTCCGGTAGACGCGGCGACGTTCACATGCGCGGACAGTGGGCGCGCAGCGCACCTAAGAGATCTCATCGTCTCCGAGCGCGCCCACCGGATGAAACTCGCGGGCTTCCGCGCGGTTTACTCTCCACCGGATGATCGTCATTACCGTGACGCGTGTGAGTCAAGCCGACCCGATGAGCAAAAGAAATGAATCCCGAGATACAACTCCCTACGTTTCAGTAGCCGGCTGAGGGAGTGGGGAGTGTATGCAAGTATATTTGCGGCGATAACGAACGACGCTGGGGTGGTGAACTATCCTGCTAAATTAAGAATAATACTAATGTGTTCGAGAAAGAACAAAATTATTGAATTGATTTATATATTTATAAATCAATTCAATAATTTTGTTCTTTCTCGATTATTTATTACTATATCTATGGACCGGCTGTGCATACAATTGCACTCTAAAAATAATTGCTGAAGAAATAAGCGAGGCATGTAAGTCACAGAATTCACTAAGGTTGAGGTCCGTGATTGAAATGTATAATTTCATTAATAGATGCAGCTTTATATATTATAGATAACTGTTACAAATATGTTATGTTAAAAAATATTTATATGCTGGTAGTACTATATATACAATCTTCAAAAAAGCTGTTAATATAAAATTCCAAACGATATTTCTATTTTAATTACTTGTAAAATTAAATATGTATATTAACATTCAGAACGAGTATCTTACTTGGTTGGCAGCATTATCACCGTCCTCTCCATCTGCTTCTTCTTCTTCTTCTCCCCCTTCAACTTCCTGTTCCTCATCCATGTCTTCTTCATCTTCTTCACCTTCCTGAAGCAAATATGCTAATTCTTACTGATTATAACTTTTAGGAGTCATAGTTATCTCTACAAATAATCACCATTTGGAGATGTACCTATATTTTCTATATCAAATTTTAATACAAATTGATTACCAATTTATATTAAAATTTGGCAATATCCCCAGACAATTCCCACAGCACCATTTAGTCCCATGCTACGCAGAGCTAGTGTTATAGATGCTAGACAACTACTTAAGATACAGTTTTTGTAAAAAGATACTTAACCTTTTCAGACCTGAATTATTTTTTTCACCCAATGGATTTGGTAAATTCCATGTGTCTAAAGTACAATAAGGAGACAGAGAGAGAGAAAAAAAAGCCTTAAACTTTTCAAAACAAATTAGTAGTACTAAACTGAGTAGTTTATAAGTAAACAAATCAATATAATCGGAAATTATAAAATTGTTTTAAATTGTATCTTATGTCTACAATTGTTACCCTTGTGTCTACCCTTTTAAAATTGGCGTGCCCAGTTTTGAAAGGGATATTTAAAAATACCCAGACCAATACAATCATATTTATGAATACAAATGTTTGTAAAAACCACCGAGGCAGTCGAAAATTACATTAATATTTACATGTAACATATGCAAACACATTCTAATACTGTACAGGCATAATATAATTGTTAGGTGTATATACGGCCTCCTCACCGATTACGATTTTGTAATAGTAGTTGTTGTCAAAATACTGATTGACATTATTGTAAATATATTATAAAAGGAGACAATAGAATTATTCTGCTGCAAACATATATATTATTTATTAGTAAACATATCATCTCACCATCTCAACACATAAGAACCCCACCACAACATCTGGCGACCGTGACTTTGTACTAAAATGTTGAGATTAAAAAAATCAAGAACAAATTTACGCCGATTATTCACAAAGACTGGGAACCAGTCATCAGAATTATCAAGGAACCCATACCAAATACTGCGGAAATAAAGGTGTGTCATTCACTATTTAAAAGTAAATCAGATGAATTATTTAAAGTAGACAAAGATATTTATAATGAATGGGTGAATGACGACGAAACAAATGAAACGGCAGATGAATTTTTGATTAAATGGATTACCCTAGATAATATCAGCAGCCTCTCAATTACCAGTCGCATCATCTGAGAGACAGGATATAAGTGCAAGAACACCAGATGAAAGTACGAGCGTAAATGGAGAATCGATAAATAATGTAATGACGAGACGATTCACATTACCAAAGATTGAGCTGAAAAGGTTTGAATCCAATGTGAGGGAATCCGCTCTCTCTGAGGAGATTTTACGTGCAAGAAAGAGACGTAACCAACTTGAAGAACTACTTCAATTTTTTAAACGAGAAGTTGACAGTGAAGAAAAAATCGAGTTGGACAAGTCCGGTTGTAAAAGTTATATAAAAGAAGTGAGTGAACCGACAATATCATATATTTCATCGGGTATGAGTAAGAAATATGAGGGAGGTAAAAAGATACTTTATGGTATGAAAAGATTACTTACGACTGTAAACAAAAGAAGGAAGAAAAAAGACTAGATATAATTTTGACATCCGATGATTATGAAGAAGAGGAAAATAAGTCTGTAATGATTATACAAAGAGAATATTTTCAAGCATATGACGAGTTTAAGAAATTGAAAAATAAGACTATTTTTACAGACGAAAAAAGTATGATAAGAATGAAAACTAAATTAATTCTGAGTCAAGAGGAAAATAGAGATTTTAAATATTTAATAATATTACCATCGCATAATTTTATTCATCTAGTTCAAGACAAGCATATCAACTGGAAAGTTAAGCCACCGGACCCTACTTGGTGGAGGGGAGGTTGGGTGGAAAAATTGTATCATTGGTGGGAAAGATGGTACGCTTGGTGGGAAAGATGGTACCCCTGGTGGGATGGAATAGAGAGAGTACCCATGGTAAACACAAACTCTGATGTATTGGAAGCTCATTTGCTGTAGGATGTTAGGTGTATATACGGCCTCCTCACCGATTACGATTTTATAATAGTAGTTGTTGTCAAAATACTGATTGACATTATTGTAAATATATTATAAAAGGAGACAATAGAATTATAATATTCTGCTGCAAACATACATATTATTTATTAGTAAACATATCATCTCACCATCTCAACACATAAGAACCCCACCACAACAATAATAGTAATGATATCATGATCTTACTCTGTACATAGTGCCCGAACATCTTTCGTCATCTTCTTCGGAGTCTACAACAATGACACCTTCATCATCTTGGTCGCAACGGGACGACGTGGGCACTTGATATTCCACTTCAACAGACCTTTCGAAGCCCTGAAAACAACCACCAATTTTAGGAAAATGTTTTTGACAATAGTATTTAACAAAAATTACATCAAAGGGTTATTTTCTGTGTACTACGAAATTACATACGATGTAATTTGCAACATAGCAATAATTTTAAGGCTGAACACTGGGATTCTGCTCCAAAAATGTATTCTTGAAAAAAGAAGCATTCATGCCATTTTGTCAGTTCCTAATAATATTATACTACTTCAAGAACCTTAGCCACACGAGGACGGATCTGCTAAACGTCTTATAGGGAGGCCATATACCCATAGCCAGAAAAGGGACTTTGATAGTGATGATAACCTGGACGCGTGTCCGCTTCGCGGTAACGGGTCGAGGCTGCAGGCGACGCTTGGGCGGGCGCGCGTCGGGCGGCGGCTGCGACGTGCTCACGCCGCCAGACACCAGCGCTGCACCGCTACCTGCCGAGCTCTGTGCTCGCTCTGGACCACTCGACGCTCCTGTTTCACCAACAGGATTATTAACGATCAGTTTCCACTTAACCCCAGGCCGTAGAGCACTCACTATTTTATTTACAACAATATAAACCAATATAAGAGATCGTAAAAAAATATATTACTTACAAAGGAGAAGGATATAAGCTGGTATTTTAGATTAATGAATATATCACAGTGGTAACCAAAGTCGCTAATAATGTAATAGTGCGCCTGCGCTGACGGTTTACGAATGCTGGGTCCCAGTAGAGCATGAGGTCAGATCAGTTAATATATCGTGCAAAATTCACCAGGAATTTATAACGATAGTTTCCAAGGAGAACTGCGGGGAAGTTAACCTGACGTGGTAAATTACTAGCAACGGAGTCAACAGTCTACTTTACTAACAATCCCTTTCCTCTCCTACTGCAGTGAGTTTGTTTAGTTGCATTCTCGCTTTAACTGCTTAATCGTATTTGGCATATAAATAACATTTTATATAAAATACATATTACCAGCTAGTGAAGGCGCAGCGTTGGCCGGAGATGCAGCGCTCGTGATGCTCGGTGCTACGACGGAGCTTGCAGCAGACACTCCCACACTCGCCGAACTAGCCCCGCTCGGCTGTTCTATGCGGGGCATTACTAATGCTACGGCCTGTACACATGGATGAGCAGACATTACAAAAATTAAGATATGACGGCATTCTCAATTATAAACGTTGCTGTGAATGCAACACTTTCTTATTTCTATCATTGCAATGTTAAATTTTCAACTAATTCGGAAACGAACAAACATAACAACACACACTTTCAATTTGATATCTCTTATCAATTTGAAAGAAAGTGCATATATAATGCAGAGTTGGCAAAAATATTGTATAGTAACACAATTAAATTGAAAAATATTAAACCAGTCAATTGTCTGTCTAAAGTAGTTATAGTTAGATATATTTCTACACCACTTTCAATTAAAAGATTTCATAAAATATTCTTAAATTGTTTTAATTTCATAAATTATTCAGAAACAAATTATATTATTCTGAATTTGCGGTATTATAATTAAGTTGAAGTTTCACCTGTTGTGGTGCTTGAGAATGTGATGAAGGTTGGGCACTATTGTCACTAGAACCCGAACTACCCATGCCTGCTTCACTCGTATCCATATCCTAATGAAAATATTGTTATTGAATTAGGTAAAAAGATGGGTTTTGTATAATTAATATGATTTATTATTATTATGAATAATAGGGATGGTATTCATAATAATAAATCAAAATCAAACGACATAACATCTTTATTCATTTAAATCTATTATTTAGATTGTTAAGATATGTCAAATCTACCGTCAATACTTTCGAGCTAAGAATAACTGACTAGAAATTCAACACTTTATCTTTTCAATCACTATTATGAAAATTTTACTTATAGGTTTATTTTTAAATTCAATTACGCCGAATATAATGGCTATTATGTAGCAGAAGTTAACAGGATAGCCGAAGCTAAGCTCTTTAAACGAGCACTTTTATCACATACACAATTAGATTAAATGTTTCTATTAAATGTTGGGCCATTATTTTTGGTAGTTCACGCTTATTGACAAGAGTTAACAGTAGTCTGGACACCCCTGTTATCTTTAACAATAATTTCATTCATGTCTGTTCAAAAGTTAGGACCTCGGCTTGATCATTGACGGTAGTTTTAACTGGGTGCATTATATTAATGATCTCATTGAATAATCTACATAGGCTCAAAAATTTACTTCCGATTAATAACAAGAGCTTGCGGATACTATATATTATATTTCATTTGAATATGTATATATAAGTTTAAAGATTACCATAAAATATACCTTATGACTTGTTTAAGTTGTTTTTAGAATGTGGTGCGTACCTGAGTAGATTCTGGAGGTGGAGCGGTAGTTGCAGATGACGCGGAGGGAACTGCAGAACCCGCAGAGGCCGCCAGAGCAGTGCGTGGTAATGGTCGCGAAGAAGACGCTGGCATGTATTCGGTGCTGTGCGCATCATGGGGTGCTGTAGGCCCCACTTGTGCCATTGGTCGAATGGACGCTAGCGGTGTCTCGCCACCACGTCGGCTCCCTGAGACGCTCTGTTGGGCTACACCTAGATAATGTTGACAAATCTATAATTACGTTAAGGAATACCATCAACACTTCTATGGGACTTGCACCATACTGCTACATATTATAAAATATGTGATATTTAATATAATCCCACATAGTAACATTTGTTTATAGACCGATTTTATTGACTTCTCAAAACGATGGTAGTTTAAAATCTCATTCTAATTTTATTTTGTAATCTTTATATATGCACAATAAGATTTGATGATGTTTATCGTTACATTTTATCTCTGCGCTGTCTAAAAAAATATAACATATAATTTTTTCATTTACCTGCCATTGGTTTTATGTTAGCTGTAGGAGGATCTGTGGTAGTCTTCTCGGTTGCCACTTGCTGTTTCGACGCCGATGTTTGGTTGGCCAATTGTCTTTGAAGGATATTAACTTTCTGCATTAATGCTTCAATTTCCCTTGATTTCTCTGTCTGAGCTTCGCCGCGCTCTTTTTCCAACCTAGTCAGACGACCCTCGTATTGTGACTTTATCAGAGCCAACCTGACGTCTTGTTCGTCACGCGTACTTTGTGCTACTTGTTCAATAGCTCCAATTTTAGTGCGTGATTCATCTAACTCACGACTTAAGGAATTTTTTAGTTCTGTTAATTGGACAATTTTACTTTTTGCCTGTTTCAATACTTGCTTAGCTTTTTCCTCCTTATCCAAATTAGCTGTTCTAAGAGATTCCAGTTCTTGCTGTAATTTTTCATTACTAGCTTTCTCAGTTGCTAATTGGACTTGAAGGTCATTCAATTGCTCTTCTAGTTTTTTGGCGCTTTCAGCTAAGGCGCTATCAGCGGCAGCAGCTTGTCCTTCAATCTTCTTTTTTTCTTCTTCAGTATTTCTGACCAATTCTTCATATTGAGTTTTATATTTTTTTGCTATCTTCCTTATTTGCATTTCTTTATTTCTAATATCAGTTAATGCAGTTTCTTTATTCAAAACTTCCTCATTTAGTTTTGCAACAGTTTCGTTTGCAGAATTAAGTTCCGATTTATGTTTCGATATTTCTTCGGTTAAACGCGCCATATCATCTTTTAGAATCTGCAATTCTTCACTTTGTTTAGCATTTTCTTCCATAAGTGTATTTTGCTGACGTGACAACAAAGTATATTGCTCTTCTAGCTTTGTCTTTTCCACTTTTATAGCGCCCAATTCTTCATTGAGTTTTCTTACAGTTTCTTTTTCATTTGTTAGCATTTTCGCTAAAGTTTCTCTTTCATTTTGAAGGCGTTTCCAGTCTTCTGGGCTAGTTTTATTGGCACGTTCTACTAAGGCATTTACCCTTGTTCTCCATCGAGAACAATCTGCTTTTAAAGCAACATTTTCAGACTGTAAAGTCTCATTTTTAGATATCACATCAGAAATTCTTTCTTGTAACGGCGTTAGTTGGTCTTCCATTAATTTGACTGATGCACTAAGTTCACCTACGCGCACAGATAAAACATCACGCTCTTCTCTTAAGATTCTGTTACTATCTGTCAAGGCATTCAATGTTTCCACTTTTCTTAGAATATCAGACTGTTTATTGACTGTTACCATGGTAACTTCAGAACGTTCTCTTTCAGATGCCAAAGCAAGTTTGGTATCATCTAGTTGTTTTTCAGCAATTTCTAACTGTGATTTCAGTCTCATAGTTTCAGCTTGTAAAATGTCAAATTTGGCCATAGCAATGTCTTTTTCTTTTCTTAGGAATTTCAATATTTGGAATAACTGTTCCGATGACTTGCCGTCATCTTCATTAACAGATATATTCATAGATTCATTAGTATTAGATTCATTCAAACTTTCAGAGTGTGATTTAGATGCATGGCTAACGGATAACTGAGTACCTAGTGCTTGAATCTGATCATGCAGCAACGTATTTTGATCATTAAGGTCTTTTAAACGCTGTGTTAACTGTTCATTTTCTTTGATGAATATAACCTGCCTTTCAGACCAGGCTTGTTTCTCAGTTTCCATCTTTTCCACTGCATTATTCTTTAAAGCAACTAACTCATTTAATTGATTTTGTGCTTTTGATAGTTCTTCTTTAACTTGTGACAAAGTTTGTATGTCACTAGAATGTAAAATCATCTCATGAGTATACTTTTCTTCAGCATTTTGGACTGATTCAGATAGCTTTGTAATTTCTCCACGAGCAGCTTCCAGTTCTAAACGACAATTATCGAAATTTGTCAACGCCAACTTCAATTCTTCTTTAACATTTATTAATTCATTCTTAAGGGTATTGTTACTATTGGAATGTTCTCCGATGGCGTGAAGAGAAAGTTCTGCTTCTAACTCCGAACATTTATTTTCAAGATGTTGTAATTTTTGCATGTAGTCACTTAATTTTTGTTCAGATTCGCGTTTATATATTTCATATTCACTGTTAAGATTCCGTAATTCTTTTTCGGCGCCCTCTGATATATCACAATATTGTTTTATATGTTCTTTTGTTATTTTCAATTGTTCCTGTAGAGACAGAATGTCTTTATCCCTATCACTTAATTTGTTATCCAATTCTTTTATTTTCTTTATAGTATCAAAGGATCCATCAGTATTAGGGGCAAGTGCAACTTTCAATTTCTTAGCGAGTTCTTCATTAGCCTTATTTTTGTCATGTAAATCTTGACGTAACTCGGCTACTTCTTTTCTCATTAAGTCAGCTGCATCCTTTTCTTCTTGCATGCGTAGCTTGGCTGTATCCGTCTGCCGTTCTAAATGCGCGGCTAATTCTCTGAATCTATCTTGCTCTTCTTGCAGTCTCCTTCTTAAAGCTGAACATTCCCTTGTGGCTTCATCAAGTCTTGATTCAATTTTAGCACGATTTTCTGCTTCTACACGCTCCAAGCTAGCTTTTATTAATTCTAAATTCTTTAATAATATGGACTGCCCTTGTCTTTCCCTATTTAAAATTTCCTTCTCGGTTTGAAGTCGTAACTCAGCATCCTTAAGTAATTTACATTCCAGCTTCAAATTTTCCACTTGAATTTCTGCAGCAGCAAGTTTACTTTGTGCATTAAGAACTTCGTCTCTTAAATGTTGTAATGAAACTTCATGTTTAGCAATCGTAGCGTTGTAAGCTTTGTTCTTGTCTTCTAATGAAGTTATTTGTTTTTTATAAGTTGTTATATTAGTTTGCAGTATTTTTAGACGTTCATTATTATACTCTGAAGTAGAGGCACATTTGCTATTTGCCGCAGTAAGCTTTGCAATTTCTTGCCTCATACTATCAATTTGCTCAAATAGCATTCTTTCATTTGTCATTTTTTCTTCTTTATATGTTTTATACTCTTCTTTTAATAATTCAAGGTGTTTTTCTGTTTCTTTATATTTTATTTCGAAATTAGACGATTCTATATTTCCAGGTTTTAGATGCTTTTCAGGCGATGATTCCACTGTAAATGAATCTCCTTTTTCTAAGTCACCCATATCTAGTACGGATGGCAATTCATGACGTTTACCTTTCATAAGATCATGATATAACTTTTTGAACATATCGCGTTGCCTAATGAGACCATTAACCATTTTTGTTTGTCTTTCTTGAGCTTCAGTTAGCTCCGTAACTCGATTCTTCAACGATTCTATTTTACTTTGCATCTCTCCACTTTCAAACTGGTCTTTATGACGCTCAAATTCTTCTTGTTTTTCTGTCAATTCACGAACCATTCTTAACAATTTTTGATTATTTGCTTGTAGTTCTTGAATATCGGTGAAAGTAACTAATGTCTTAGAAATTATACGAGATGAACTTAATTCAGATGAATTTGTAGTATTGGAAGCTGCATGAGATAAATCATGATCTCCATTTGGTATAGATGCACCACGACTATGTTCAATTTCCTTCAGTAAGAAACAAACTTGCCGTCCTAAATCCGCTAATTCCCCTTTTAATTTCCCATTCTCTCGACTGTAATGATTAGCTATTTTGGCTGATTCACTGTAATCATCTCGTAGTCTATTACATTCAATCACTAACGAGTCTATTTGTTGGGACAGTGCGGTATTACTCTCTAAAGCCTCTTCATATTCAGATTTTTGTTTCTGAAGTAGAGGTGCCTTTTCTTCTAACTCTTGAACAATTGTGTTGATAGTAATATTAAGACGCCTGTTTTCTTCCTTTTCTTGTGCTAAGTCATCAGTTACTTTTACTAACTGTGAATAAATTTGTGTTAAGGACATTCCGGATTTAAGAAGCTTACTGGCTGTAGCGGCAGATGGAGCTAAGTCGCTTAAAGCCATATCAAGATTTTGAGCATTAGCAGCTTTCAATAAATCATTTGCGTTATCTAATTCATTCTTCAAGGATCCTATAATTTCATTTTTCTTTTCCATTAATTCCTCATGGTCTATTTCAGCTTGTTTGTATTTTGTTTCCAGATCACCATATTTTTCAGTAGCTTCATTCAACAATTTCTGCAGTTCTGCAACACCCTCAGTCATTTCTATAGTTTTCGCTTCAGCATCATCATGCATTGTTTTAAACAAATCTGCAAGTTTAGTTTTAGCATCAAGTTCTTTTTTGTAATTTTCGGTCATCCTATTTTCTATTTCGCGCTGTTCCATTAACCGTTGCGTAAGAGTCTCCGCACGATTGTTTAAATTCTTTTTAACTTCATTCAATTGAGAAATTGTATCATTAGCAGCATTTAATTCTTCAATTTTTTCCATTAATTGCGTTTCTAAACTTACTAACCTGCTGGTGTTATTTAATCTCAGTGTTTGTAATTCGGAAGTGAGTCTATTTACTTCTTCTGTTAAACTACCAATTTGAGAATTTAACAGAACTCTTTCTTGTTCCATTCTCTTTTCGCGATACTGAAGAGAAAGTTCCTTGCTTTGAATTTCATCATTCAATGCCAATGCCTCACATTTAGCATCGATAGCAGCAGACAGCTGTTGCGACAGAGATGTCTCATTCGCTATTAGTCTCTCAATTTCAGTATCACGTCTTTGTAATATTCGGGTTAGGTCATTCCTTTCATCAACAGCCGCATCTCGTGAGCTCTTTAGAGATATAATATCATTTTCTAAACGTTGTATTTTATCTCGGTCTTTCTCGAGTTCAATATTTAGAATTTCAATTTGTTTATTCAGCTCCGTAGTTGTATCGTCTGCTGTTTGTAATTTTCTTGTTGCATCTTCATATTTTGCTGTTAATTCAAGAATTGTAGCTTCTGTATTAGCAATTTTATCATCTACAAAAAAAATAGTACATTATAAATAAATATACATTAACAAAATCACGATCAAGAACCAGACTAAGCAGAGCTCATACATATCAGAGGGTAAACTTTACCACATAGTTTTCAGTAAACAAGGTGACTAGGTAGGCTTTGTAAATTTATCTAAGTGTCTAAAAGGCCATATTATGTCTAACAATGCAATAGGCATGGTAGCTGATTTCTAAATAACACTCCCACAATGTTCTTCCAATTTGTATTCATACAAATAATCTCATATTTTTGAGGTAAAAATTACCTTAAAATATACAATTTAGATTTCGCGGCAAAACGCTACAATAGCAATGGTGTCACCTATGACGTCAAACTTTCGTAAATACTTGATAAGTGGCAACTTACAGTAGCGGTCATATGTTTGTTTGTTGAAAGTTTTTCAAGATTTTGTTGCAATAATCAAGATGAATTTCAATGTATATCGATGGTGTGCGGTCTCTCAATATACTAATACAACATTAAAAATGCCGAACAAGTAATAATGAACAATTAAAATTAATGCACCAATTGACAAAAAGGTTAGAAATACATGCCTGATCTAGTAAGCTGAAACCGGGCAGCTATATCTAATAATTAAGCAATTTATTTCTGCGAAGATTTTGATGTAAAAATTTACTTTATTTACTGCAAAGAAATGGAGTACATGGATAGCATAGCTCTCGCTTAGAGCTATTTATCTTGATGAATCCTTGTTCCATGATGGTTGTACTTTCTACTAGCACAATAGTAGTAGGTCCACTAATTAATTTTTATCAGGTTTTATCAACGACATCAGGAGTTTCATTTAGAAAGAGCGCGAAACAACTTTCTGAGAACTTTGTATAGGTCGTACTTTATACAAAAGACAGAATAGTTGACTGACATGTGTATGTATGTTTATAAAAGGGCGACGTCATGCGCTCCTGATTGATGTTCGATCTATCATAGTGAACTGATACGTTTTACATTTTTAATTTAACTTAAATAAATATAATCTCGCTTGTAATCTAAAAACAAATGCTGAAATATGAATTAGGAATGAGCCTATCATAGAACATTACATGAAATCGTGATTTCATTTATAAGAATAAATGAAATCACGATTTCATGTAATTTTAGTTAGTATTATCATGCCTATTCTTAGGTGTGGGACCCAAGATTTGCATTGCCCTGTTAAAAAATAAAGTAAAAAGACGTTGCTCAATGGTGTTTATCCTTACTAATATTATAAATTCGTAAGAAACTCTGGCTCGCTTTCACGCCGAAACTACTCAACCGATTTAAATTAAATTTGGTACACAGATAGTCTAGACCTTGAGAAAGGATATAGAATACTTTTAATGCGAAAAAAGTGTTTTAAGGGGGTTCAACCCTCTTCTCCCCCTCCAGGGGATATGAAAGGTTGTATGGAAGTATCATTTTTAAAGCTAGAATCTTGAAACTTATTTTTTAGGCTGTTGATTAAACAGAAAAACTCAATTGTGCAATGATATCTTTTAACATGACTACACTGTCCGCTATGACCAAAATATCGAACTGTGTTTATCGAGCGGTATGTGTATTCGTGGATCATTCTGTGTTTTGGAGCCATCGGTGTAATAAACGTATTTCATTTACTGCAGATTGGTCCCTTTCGTCCTGTTTTATTTGTACTTAGTATTTCCTGTTGAATGAACGATGTTTGAGTTCTGTCACATGGAGCAGAAACCAAAGGTTCATAGTTGTTTGCTTGGTTCAGATGGTAGTTTTTTTTTCATTTTATGGATGATAATGATGCATCCGCCTGCGCAAACAGTTTATGCTGGCGGGGCACCAGTAGAGGATGATACGATGAACATGAGGTGAGATCAGTTAGCCCATAGTGACAAATTCATCAGGAATTTATGACAATGCTTTCCAAGAGGAACGGCGCGGTGTTCAATTTTCTCCATACTCGCTGACTTCTTCCCTATTCACTTGTTTGCAGGTCGATAACTCAAAAGTTAATAACCCAATTTAGTTCAAACTTGGTATGTATACTCTTAATGAGGTTTAACAACTTAAAAAGTGACAAACTTAACAAGTGACTACCTGGACGAGTGAACCTACCCCCACCAACCCCTCCATTCCGCGAAATTTTTGACTGAAAATTTGAAGTTCCTCACCAAGCAAGGAAAACCCGCTCAGACGATTTTTCAAGAGCTGTTAGCAGTTCTCGCGGACACTGTGCCTGGTAAAACCATGGTTTACAAGTGGCATAATCTTTTCAAACAAGGAAGAGAGTCTATTGAAGATGACTCCCGCTCCAGACAGCTAATTGAGGCCACCACACCGAAAATTGGCGTAAAAGTAGAAAAACTTGTATTAGAAGATACCCGGCTGAAGAAGAATCAGCTTGCAGCAACGGTTGGAGTATCCGAAACAAGTACTTTAAATATTCTACATCATCATCTTGGCATGACTAAGGTATGTGCAAAATGGGTTCCAAAAATGCTCGCGCCACTTCAAAAAAGTGAGCGGGTCGAGTGTACTCGCCAGTCTTTGGAGCTCTGTGGAGAGAGTAGAGAAGAAGTTATGCCCCGGATTGTTACTGGAGATGAAACCTGGGTTCACCACTATGAACCTGAGTCGAAGTAAGAGTCGATGCAGTGGCATAAAAAAGGCACAACTCCTCCAAAGAAATTTTAAGTGTCACAATCGGCCGGAAAAATCATGGCGACTATCGCCATGATCTTTCTAGTTTTGAGATACAGAAGGCATTTTGCTGATCAAGATCGTGGTGTGATTATAACGGGACAGTACTACGCCTCTTTACTATACAGATTGAAAGAAGCTATCAAGGAAAAAATAAAAGGAAAGCTGTCAAAAGGTGTGCTCCTTTTGCACGACAACGCTCCCATCCACATGTGCCATGTTGCTACGGCTGCCATCCACCGATGCGGGTTTGAAAAATTAGATCACCCTCCTTACAGCTCATACTTATTATTAGCCCCAGCGACTATTATATATTCCCAAAAATGGGAAAAAAGCTGACGAAGAGAAAAATTTGGCGACGATAAAGAAGTCAAGTCTGCAATTTCGGCCTATTTTAACAGCAAAGATAAAACTTTTTGTTTCTATGATAAACACTAATTATCTTAGAGATATGAAAAATGTATTAAGGTTAAAGGAGAGTAAATTGAAAAGGAAAAATAGTTTCATGTTTAATTTCAACCCCCTTCCCCTTTATTCCGTGATTTTTTTGACCTCCTCTCGTATAGTATTGAATATTCAAGGATTATATATTATTGAGTACGCCGAAAACTAATTAAACAGAAAGATATCCAAATGGAAGTAACGGGTCCATATCAAAGTCTTCTATTAGCTTTCTCATGAATGGGTACGTTGTAGGGTTCATTCCCGGGATTCATGGGTTTTGTTCCCGGGAAATCAAGCTCGAGAAAAGTCGAGAACTCGAGAAATCATGTACTATATAGAAATTAAATTGCCCTTTGTTTTGCGTGGCGGCGCAATAATTTAAGATATTAACGTTTTTATTTTCTTTCATGTTATTTTTTTATTTTGTAGAAATTATTTTTGTTTACGTTGTTTTTTTTTCTAAATAAGCAGCCAAAAATGGTGCTGTCATTATAAATATAAGTCTGAATAATTAGGTCCTGAAAAATTTCAATTGGCGTTTTGTAAGGGAATAACCTGAAGTATTTTTTTCAAAATATAATATATTTATTTAATCAAAGTATGTACCATTTCTATTTATGCACTTTTGCCTTGTTTTTGCACTTTGGACAGCTCCATCGGAGTTTAATTTTTTCCCTTGCATGAAGTTAGAAGAAGGAGGAGGAAGAGGGAAAGGAGTTTTGGAGCAAGGTCCGGGAAGTACGGTGGTTGTCTTAGACATTCCAATTGAAGCTCTTCTAATTTGGTAACTGTCTGTTGTGCAGTATGTGGTCAAGCATTCTTGGCGTTTGACCAGCCTTAGTTGTTTTGCAGCTAGCTTTTCCATCTTGGTTTCTCAATTGCTGACAATACACATTGCCGAAGTGAACAACACTGGAAATAGTCCACCAAACGTTCACAAGTAACATTTTTTGAGAAAATTTTCGCTTGGGGCAGGATTTGGTTGGTTCGCCAGGGTTTAGCCATTGCAATGAGCGTTTTCGATTATCGCACAAGATCCACTTTCCATCACAAGAGATGATTTGATTTAAAATCCCTTCATTATTATGTCGGTTGATTAATGTAACGCAGCAGGCTACGCGCGTTTGTCGATTTACTCCATTGAATTCATGAGACTCACTTTTCAAGCTTTTTCACCTTCCCAATTTGCTAAAGGATTAAAACAGTTTTGTCACTAACACCGCAGCCTGCAGCTAACTCGGACGGGTTTGCGATGGATCCGCTTCCTCGTTTTTTTTTTTCTTCGACTAGCAACACCAACGACAGTTGTCATTTTCAGCTGGCCGTAATAAATAAATAATTTTTAATAGTCTATCACACGAATATTATATTTTCGACATCGTTATTAGTGATATAATAGTGCAATAAGTGTCGATTATTGTTTGTGTACAATTTGGTAGTGTATTATTTGCAAAAACCGACATTAAAATAGTGCACCGGCCATCTGTCAAATTTCTTTCGTTGGTAAACAACTAATTTTAAAACTATTTTATAACTATTTGCTGGATTTATTCAAAGAATTTCATAATATATACAAGTTTTATAGAAAATATTCACATTAAGTCAAATTGATATTAATAATTGTGAAGTTCAGTTGTTGCGTACGTCGAAGGAAAAAATATACCCACAAAATATATTGTAAGTAATTTTACGTTTTATATTAATATAATTTGAAGGAAAGGAGCACAATCTAATTCCATACTTAATCTTGTAAAATATAGCTTGTATAAATATACCTAACAGAAATTATTAAAAATTTTAACACTCAAAATAAGTAAGGTTCAGTTGCTGTTCTCGTTGTGATACTTTGTTTTTTAGAAATAACTCACTTCACTCTCCCTAGTAACTATTCATATTTTCAATAATGTCACTATCTACACGTTCCACAACTGCACGGCAGACAGAGATGAAGCTTAAAGTGGCCCTACAAGAACTTCAGGCATCCAAAGATCTTAGTGACAAGTTGATCAGGGAGAGAGAAGAGAGTGAAGATGAAATTTTAAAAATTATAAATAAAAATATCAATACTGTTACTGTTATTGTTAATAATAATTATTAACAATAAATAGTCGATATTGATGGTGTAAAGTCTAAGGGTACTAATATAAAAATGGGCGTTCCTCAAGGTTCAATCTTAGGGCCATTTCTCTTTTTAATTTATATAAATGACCTTCCCTACATGGTAGAGAAAGTTGCAGATATAGTGTTATTTGCGGATGATACATCGTTAGTATTTAAAATTGGTCGCCAATGTAATCATTTAGACGATGCAAATTATGCTATCTCTGCTATATTAAATTGGTTCACATGTAATAATCTATTATTAAACTCCAACAAAACTAAGTGTATTAAATTCACGCTGCCTAATGTAAGACAAGTAAATACGCAGCTATTGCTTAATGATGAAATAGTAAATTTTGTTAGTGATACAGTTTTTTTAGGAATAACAGTGGACTCGAAGTTACAATGGGGGCCCCATATTTCAAAATTAGCCAGTAGACTTAATTCTGCTGCTTATGCAATTAGAAGGATAAGGCAATTAACAGACGTGGCGACGGCAAAACTTGTATATTTTAGTTATTTCCATAGCATTATGTCATATGGCATACTGCTGTGGGGTAAAGCTGCCGATGTAAATACTATATTTATTTTACAAAAGAGAGCCATACGTTCTATTTATGGTATGGGTTCTAGAGAGTCATTACGTCAATGCTTTAAACAATCAAATATCCTCACCGTTGCCTCACAGTACATTTATGAAAATATTATGTATACAAGGAAAAACTTAGATAGTTTCAAGAAACTTAAAGACTGTACAAGTAGAAACTTACGCAATAAAAATAAGTTAATTTTACCTAAATGCCGTCTACACAAAGTTAGTAATTCATTTTATGGTAATTGCGTAAGATTCTATAATAAACTGCCAGAATCTACGCTAAATCTGACAGAGAGGCAATTCAAACTATATATTAAACAAATGTTATGTAAAAAAGCCTATTATAGGATAGATGAATTTATAGATGATAGTAATATATAGCAAGTATAAGTTTATTTGCGGACAACATTATAATTTGTTTTTCATACTGCTTTCTTGATATATGATAGCGTAGCGGCTTATGTATTGATTGCCGCATGCATCCTCATGTAAAGTGCGAATACTGTAACTACAATATAGTAATTTTTGTAGCTGTGACGTGGTCGAGTGGAATGAGTAGTCATGCTCACTAAAATGTCCAAACATGTGGCGGCGTGGTGGGCCGGGTCATTGGGCTCCCTAAAATATGGTCGAGCGCAGTGATGGCTGGCTCATCCATCATACTCGTGAACGAGTGCTGCTTGTAGGGACTGGTCTGCTCTTATCACTACGACTGATTTAATCTTATTGTGTTTTTATATTTGAGCCTAAATAAATTAGTGCTGGTTGGTAGTTTGTATTCACACGTTTCGACTTGTAAAATGTGAACTTACAAGGATTGTTTAAAAGAGCAACACACAAGTTTCTTGCTTATTCTTCTTGTGATGAGACAGCTTTCCGAATAAGCGGTAGATTTAAAAAAATGTTGACTTGAATATTGAAAAGTGCTTAAATTAAGTTTATTTGAATAACTGATTTTCTATTCTATTCTATTCTTCCACAATAGCCTTCAATTCTTCATTATCAACATTGGATTCCGGCCGCCCACGGATATTGCTTTGCAGGTCAAAATTTCCAGAACGAAAACGTTGGAACTAAAAATGCACGTGTTTTCTTTTGCGAGACCACTTAGCACCGTGTAGCACTGGTGCCACAGCGGAACTCGTATTCGTAAATAACGCGATACTTTAAGTTTTTTCATTTTGTATGCTGTGAGTGACCCAAAGTGAATAGCTGTATAAATTTGGAAATGGAGTTCCTAACCAAAGAGGAGATATTTGAGATCAAAGAGGCCAGTACGACAAAACGCCAATTTCATATGTAAGGACCTAATATTACTTCTATTTAAAAAAAAATATATTCATAATATTAATGTTTTTAAATATACTCAATAAAAGTTTAATTTAATACTTTTATTTGAGAGGAAAACCTCTGAATTTTTTGACGTTATTGGAACCAAATAATATGAGAAAACGTACGTAAATGTAAATTTCTCGACAACCCGAGAAGACGCGAGAAATTGACCTCGAGAATTCTCGAGACCCGAGAAATTGAAAAGCTCGAGAAATCATGAACCCTAGTACGCAAATAAACTAACTAGGGCTAAGTAAGTAAATATCGATTTTATACAGACTAACTGGACTACGCATGGCAAAGGTGATTCAACGACCACAAGCGCATACAAAACCAGAGTTATTATGAACAAAGAAAATATTGAGCTAGATGCATCAGGATGTCTTATTGTTAGCGTAATTCCTTTTAATAATAGTTTTGTCTAATGACATGGCTATTGTACACTACTATATGTACTGTAATATATGTACACTACTATACTACTATTGTGGCTATTGACATTTACTCGTAATACTTATTAAATACTATACATTATATATATATATATATGTATTTAATAAGTATTACGAATAAATGTCATGAATGAACACTACTTGACTTTGTACCTATTTTGCCAAATGCTCTTCCAATGTCTTGCAGTGAAATATTATATTTAGTGTATAGGAGGCGGCGTACATAACAAACAAACATTTCAGTCAAAATAAAATTAGTTTTAAACTAGATGACGATATTAAAAGGATTGTTAAATATTGTTATCAAAATAAGCGTTTTCAATGCTTATTTTGCCAATACAAATGTTCTACAAATTATTGGCATAATCTGGCTACCACAATAAACCCAGCGTGTCTCAGATACGCAAGTAGAAATATCAATAGAAAACGTGGTTCTTTTACAATGATAATATTTAACTTATGTATATACTTTTTACTACATATGTAAAATATAAACACTTGTCTATTAATCAATCAATATGTAAATTATAAGCCCCTCCCACTTTTACCATTACCATTAAATCCTCGGAATGTTGAGGTCGCTCCATGAAGCTTGTGAAAACACCAGGAGACTTCTGCGCTTCTGGGAGGGGCTTAGCTGGCTACTTTAGTAGCCTGGCTCTACACATACAACAGCCCAGATGAGAGGATTGCGGAGAATGGAGACCAACTTACATTATGTTACCCTTACCATCAATCATCTCGCAATTTCAAACTTGGATTTGCCAGGGATCCAAAGAAATACAAAAATCAAGATGGAAACAAATCACTGATTATGACCTAACAAAAGTGGCAATGCCAATAGTAAACTAACGATTAACAAAATGCCTACTGAACCTAAATAGGCAAAACCTTAAAATAATGATAGGGACTGACAATGGGCTGATCTCTGTATTTATAAAGTTCTGTAACACATACTTTCAAGTTCCTTTATTATTTATTTTTTTAATTCAGTTCATTTTTGTTTTTTAAGAAAAGGTACATTCACCCTTTTGGACATAAAATCAGTGTTTTGCTCCTTGAGTGACTCTCCACACTGAGCTATGTATATATAAAATCCCTATGCGTATGTCACTATTTCATTTCCGATTGTGTCTCAATACTATTTAAAAATTAGAAAAAGCAGGCAATGTGGGTAATGTTAAATTTGTCAACTAATATATAGCAATGTATCACTAGTTTTATAACAATTTATTTTAATTTTATGTATCAGAGGCACTGGAGATAATATATCCAAAACACCAAGTAATTTCTGATGTAGAGACTGGAAAGGACAACACAAACCTAGTTAGGAATTAGTAAAGTGCATAATTTTATATTTTTATTTGAGACAACTTAATATTATTATATATATTACATTGGCCTATAATATAGATACCTCAAGTACTAACATATATAGAAAATAATAAAACAATACATAAATAATGTTTCTAAGATAAAAAACGAACCATATAACCAATCAATGTTGGTTATACAGATAAGGTTGCAAATAATAAGCTAGTATAATAAGATAGAAATAATTTAGAAAGGTAATACCACCTTAAATTATGAATATGATAAAAACATTGATAATATGATCTCAAAAAATGATTAGGAGTTGCAAGTAAGTTTTTATTTTTATGTAATTAGTCTCATTGAACACACCAATATCACCTATATTGGTGTGTTCAATGAGACTTTGATGATTTGAATTTATTCAAATACAGATTCAAACGACTTAGATCCACCAGTTTCTGGTATCCTCCTTTAAAAAATTCTATACTTAAAGAATATTAGGTTATTCAAGACTTTTAGATTTACCATTCCGTTTAAGTATTCGTTACAGGTATTGACCTATGTATACTAGGTTATTCGAATTTTAAATTTACCCACGTAATTGTTATTAAATTAATACTATTGTACGTAAAGTATTCATGTTTAATAAAGCAATATAGAGAAAATAATATAATTAAGATATGTATGTTTGATATAAAAAAACTAAGAATGTTACTGAAATCACCGGTTACATGCTATGCTTACCTATTTGTGATTTGCTGGTCTCATGCAGCGCTTTCGAAGTCAAGTATTCTTCAAATTTTTGGTCAATATAAATGTTGATCTTTTCAGCGATTGAAACTGGTAAACTAGCAATCTCCGCTTCAGATAATACATTCTCCAAATGTTTTTTATCACCGGCTTCCGCAATTGAGGTATCAGCGGAATCCATTTTTGTTTTACTCACTGAGAGAGAAAACAAGGAAGCCACCCCATGAAACTGTCACACAAATAACCACAGAACACCAATACCATTCAATATCCCAGCGGCAAATGACAATGATCACTATGTAGTGACCTAGTCTATGGTATAGAGAATTTAATTCAAAGTGGACAAACACTCTATATATTATAGTTAGTATCAATGTTACCAAGATCGAAAAATTTTAGTTGGTTTCTTTGTGGGCTAACACGGCTTAGTACTTCGTCCAAACTTTTAGTTGTATAATATATAATATACACATACATAGTAAAAAAGTAGTTTCGCTTTAGCCTATTTTAAATGTATTACCATTACATACGCTTAATATTATCCTTGTTACTTTAAATTGAACTGAAATTGTATTAAATTTGATTATTTAGATATAAGATATAATATACTATAACCTGTCTGATCTTATTTTTATCTTAATTTTAAGTAGATAGAATATTATTATGACAAGGCTGTGTGGGCCGAGTCCTTTAATCATAACTTGCACAGGAAAAAAAATATTGACAGTAGTCTATGCTAGTTAATGTCGTAGTATCTCCTATTATCCAACCCATACAAAAACAATTAAAAGCGTAAAGAAGTAATTACTTCTCGTTTAATTAAAGTGACCAACATTTACATTTAGCCATATTATTTCAGATTTGACTTATTATATTATGAGATTAACTTTTTAATCAAAACTATTCAAAAGCTTTTTGTCTAATAACATTTGTTTTAGAATTATTGAAATATTTATATAAATATATGCCAAATGTGAGGCAAAAATGGAAGAAGAACAGTGTATACTTGACTACTCTACTTATTTTCATAACCACAACATTCAATTGTTACTTAAAGACTGCATTGTACAATTATGTGTAAATAAACCAGAAAACCCAGTTTCATTTTTACGACAATACTTTCAAAAATTAGAAAGGGTAAGAAAAATATTGTTAAATACATGTTTATAAATATAGATATATATTCATCAATATTAATTTACAATAGGAACAGGTCAAAGCAGCCGCAGCCGCGGCTGCAGCATCTGAGGGGGAAGCCGATGGGGAACTATCACCATTACCAGTGCCTGGTGGTCAACCGTCCCGTCGCCGTGGAGGTATTAGTGCTGAACCTGTTACTGAAGAAGATGCTACTAGTTATGTTAAAAAGGTACACTACACTACACTTATAAGTATATTAGGTACATTAAAGTTGTTAGATTCATATTAGAATTATTTAATTTCTTTTCCATTACAGTTTTAGAGGCTATTTTATTATTTAAATAGAAAAAACATTTTTATCTTGACTTAGTCACCTTCTACTCACTTACTTTACTTATTGTTTAACAAAAACTGTGGCATGCATATATGCATGATAAACTACACATAATGTATAGGGTGGTTACTGTTTACTGCATTTCCAGAGAAAAGTAATTTTAGTTTGATCACATAGCATATGTATTTGCAGTTTTTTTCCAAAAAGTAAAAAAATCATCAACCAATTTTGTTGTATGTTTTTTTGTTCTATGTTGTGTATATAATAATAATGACACAATTTGATTTGGTGTTTTAATTTTGTACAGGTAGTACCAAAGGACTACAAAACAATGGGTGCTCTATCTCGGGCAATAGCATCAAATGTATTGTTTACACATTTAGATGAATCAGAGCGTGCAGATATGTTTGATGCCATGTTCCCTGTGCAGTGCCTCCCGGGTGAGACCGTCATCCGACAGGGTGATGAGGGAGATAATTTTTACATTGTAGACTCTGGTGAAGTAGAGGTAAGCACTCTGTATATATATATTATAAATGCTACATTCGCCATGACATTCACTGTTGATAATCTGACTCCCTCCATTAAGAATAATAGTCATAAAGTAAAAAATTTATATTAAATTTAAAATGTATTTAGATCTATTTTTATTTTATTATTTAAATTAAATTATATTATAAGTAGTTATAATAATCGTAAGGAAAATAGAATAATAATACTAAAAATGTTATGTAGGTATATATCAGACAGTAGAAATCAAAACAGAAGGGTAAGTAGGAACAGTAAAAATTACCAATTATTGTTTCAACTACAGGTGTCATACCAACATCCTTACATTTTAACTTCTAAATTACATTTTACCTAATATAATTTAAAAAGTGGCAACAATCTTTCTACTATCAAAGCATTGAAAACACAAGACGCCACACCACAAAAGTGTCTATTCTTAAACATATGTATATATTTATTAGACATGTATAACATGGTGGAATATAAAAAAACAACCTGTTTGAAACAGCTGCACTATCTGAATAATCATTTAATATATGATTAATTATAAGTTTTGTTAATATGTTACATTACTGCATAATATACTTATCACAGGTATCAATTGTACTTATCACTTAACATACTTCCAGGTACTAGTAAATGGCGAACCTGTAACAACAATAGGCGAGGGTGGTAGTTTTGGTGAATTAGCGTTAATATATGGTACTCCTCGCGCAGCCACGGTGCGTGCACGTACTCCCCTCAAGTTATGGGGCCTAGATCGTGACTCTTACCGGCGCATACTAATGGGTTCAACAATAAGAAAGCGCCGCATGTATGACGAATTCCTGTCACGTGTTTCTATATTAGGTAATACTATGAAGTCTATACTATCTTGCTAGTACTATAAATGTCAAAAGAAGTTCATTTATTATTTGTTTGGGTTTAACATAATAGTGTGTGTAATATGTTATCATCAGTTACGGGGCGGCAGCAGCAACAAAAGACTATTAATTTCTTTTTACACTTATATGTATTTTTCACTTCGAGCATCTAAACTGAACTGGTCTGTGCACACAATATGGTGTTCATTTTAAAGTCAGTAGTTAGGTGGGACTATTATGGTCAAATTAGGAATGAAATGAAATGAAAATTTATTTGCGTATTATACAGTTAGATATTCGGTAATATGTCCAGGTAATAATATTATTGGCAACTGTTTAATTGCCCCTAGAACCTATATCTTGTGCTCAATAATAAACATGATTATATCAAACTTCCGGACCATACATTTTATGTCATAATTATAATTAGATTTAATCTTTACTATTTATATATTTAATTTACAGTTTATAAGCATAAATAATATTTATTAAATAAAAATATATTGTGGTGGATAACCACCACAATATATTAAGTTTTCACAACGCCATCTGGTTTGTAACGCCAGATGGCGTTGTAGTCGCTGAAATCTGCTTTAGCGGAACACGCTGCCGAACGGTTGCCGTTGGTGGTAACACATCATTGAATATAAATTATCAAAGTACATTCTTTACTTAATTTATAAATAATGGATCTACAATATTATATACTTATTCTAATATTCCAGAGAGCTTAGAAAAATGGGAAAGGTTGACCGTTGCTGATGCTTTGGAACCAGTATCTTTCAGTGATGGGGAAACTATTGTGCGCCAAGGGGAACCTGGCAATGACTTTTATATTATAGTGGAAGGTAATTTTAATTATTTAATAATATAAACAGTATATTTAGATATATACCCATTATCAAAATTGTGATCAAGTGCCTCATTTTGCCTCTTTGTGGCCCTAAAGGTTAACCACAAGGCCATTACATAATTGTACTGAATGATTTATCGAGCGAAAACAAAATTTCATAAGTCATGAATGAATAAAAAAATAATTTGGTATAATTGTTTCTTTGGCGGACGAATTAGATTGTTGCTACTTGTCCATAATTCCGTAATTGTACTTTATTCAGAGTATATGCTGTACCTTTCTTCGAACGGCCTAAAGTTCCAGCAATATAATAAATTAAAAATATGATCCAGGTTGCGCGGTGGTACTGCAACAACGTAGCGGGCAGAGGGAAGATTCGGCAGTGGAAGTGGGTCGACTGGGTCCATCTGACTACTTCGGTGAAATTGCACTGTTACTGGACCGACCACGTGCCGCTACTGTACGAGCTGCCGGTCACCTTAAATGCGTTAAGCTCGACCGAGCCAGGTTATTCGAAATTTTATATAGCTAATTTCGGAATATTATTTTAATTATATAGTTATGAGGCTGAATATTATTTGTTGATATACATGACACTGAAAATATAAAAATGATGCAACTAAATATGCAACATAATATAAGGTGTGCATGTAGTAAAAGATATTTTTTCAATATTTTTTTTTTTCAACAGGTTTGAAAGAGTGCTGGGTCTTTGTGCTGACATCTTGAAACGTAATATTGCGCAGTATAATAGTTTTGTATCATTATCCGTCTAACATCTGCCTTTTCAAACAAGTGTTTTAAACTGAACTTAATTTTTATATAAAAAGGTGAGTGGGTGCTCTCATTATAATGTCTGAAGTGTTATTATTGTTAATAATTAAATGTAAAACCTATGTACGTTAATTAAACATATTAATATTTTATGTAGGTACTATTTATTTAAAATTAGCTCATATTATAATTGAAGAATATAACAAAGTATTGGTCCCAATGTTTGTGCAGTTTGTGTAGTGTTTTGTCTCTTGTCAATTATAGTACAGTCATGAGCAATAACATGTAAACAGTTTAGTATTGTAATCGAAACACATTCTCAAAATAAACTGTTATTGTGATGGGATACAAGTGTTTCAATTTTATTACCCACTAGCTGTATCCGCGACTTCGTACGCGTACAATAGTGACCTTGACCAAATAATGAAAAAAATATTTAATGACCTAACACAATAAAAGCCAAATGAAATAATTTCATCGTTTTAGCTTCAAAAATAACGATCATACAATCTTTCATAACTCTTTCAACCCCTTATAACTCTTTTTCTTAATATATATTTCATAAATAGGCTAAAAATTAAACTTCAAGCTCCTAGCTTTAAAAATGACAATATTTCCATATAAACATTTAACTCTAACCCCCTTAAGAGTAACATTTTCACAAACTTTGAATGTCATATATTGGGTAGTTTCAGAAATGATACATCGATGCAGCAGTACTTTTATTTCATTCCTTTCTTCAAATTACACTCCACATAAATTGCGTCGCTCTACATTCACGTTTAGTCGTCTCCGTCGCCTTGAACAAAGAGAGCAGCCCGCTCACTCCTTGTTCCCGGCCTCTTTATCTCTATTATTATTGGTGGCGGCATAATCGTGACGCCGCGCCGCCACCAACATCACGTGACTCACTGTGGCTTTAAATGAATGAAATGTAAGTGTTAACTATCGTGTGACGCACCATTAATTAAAAATGGTAAAGTCAATAATCATGTAACCTGAAACGGAACGTCAGAGGCCAGAGCCAAAGTAATCTATGTGACATTGACAAGTGGATGACGGACGATTGAACGGAGGCAGCGGGAGTTTTGGAGCGAAAGTGTTGATATTATTATAAAAACAAATAAGAGATAGATAATTGTGAATATTGTAGGCATTGAGGTGTTTCTCTCCCTGACTAACCGGCATTACGCCTAAGTCGTCAGGATACTAGTGATTTTAAAAGTTCAGAAGCGGTACCAATCCCGCCTACAAATTCGACTGTAAGGTAATTCTGACTAGAAGTTGTGGTAAGTGAATTTACGTTAATAACACGCATACCATTAAACGCAGTTTCTCATTTGTTTTATTGAACTTTTGGATGAATTGCTTTCTACATATTAAATAGATTTAGTATGTACGATAACTTGCGAGAGTAATGACATGACATGTAGCACGATATTGAGGTATACAATATACCTAAGAAAGAAGTATTATGAATACATTAAGTATAGAACAACATGGCTATCTAATTAGTTTAAAATACAGAGTAACTATTGTTATGTTATTAATGCCTATGATAGAGTATGATAGGATATCAACAGATTAGAAACAGTTACATTAACTATGTTGACATACAGGTTGAACATGAGAACACATACCATGTTATACATATAAACAGTGTAATGGTATTGCTGAGTTTGTTGCTAATTCACAGTAAATTAGTCAAACTTACTGTTCAGTTTTGTGTGTTTGTTCTACGTGAATTGAATTGAAGAATTGTTATTATTTCTTTACATGGGTACAAATATATGTTTGATGATCCCATTTCAGATAAATGACAATCACAGGCATAGTCCAGGTATATGTCTTGATGGTGGTTATATTCCCAAATTGAGACACTGTCATATGTATATATATTATATTGGTTGATACTTTGATATGTGTTTATTAATGAATTAATAAAGCATATTAATATAGATAGACACAGTATATTGTTGACATAAACTGATACCAGCAACATAACATGTTATATTTCATAATATTAGATATTAAAGACATTTTAGATGCTATCTCATGATTAGCTGTGAAGCTCTCAGTGAAAATAGTACTTAACTCTGATAGTACAATTATTATATTTATTTCTTGCTGTGTTTTGAATTATATATATATAGCAATGGCTAACAATTGGTAGTAAACTCCAATGTTAAAAAACCGAATAACTGTAAACTATTATTATTAATAGTTCCTTATTTAATCATTATTTAGTATAAAATCCAATTGAGATCTATTAGGATCCTCAAGGTTATCATAATCATATGATATTGATTATTAATGTGTTGAAAAAGCACCTAGAAATGATATCCAATTCCTCAAAGGTGTCATATTATGCTGGAATTATATATTATATGTATGCTCAGATTGAATGTATTATATGTTTGAGCAATTGGTTCACTTCTTTGATGCTTCTCTTGAAATTCATTAGAATGGCCCTTAGCAGCCATTGTTGATCAATAAAGGTACTTAAAGGTCCTGTGCAGGTACCTGTAGCTATGTACATTTGTCATTTGAGACAATGTTTAGTAAGTGAGTGTTGGAATTTATAAGCACCACATTAATATGTGACATGTTAGAAAGTGATAGATTACAGGTAAGACTATTCTTACATGGTTCAGTTTTATAATTTATGAAGTTGTCTTTTAACCTAAAGAAAAGCTTTTGGTAACTCCAGAAATGAATGTTGTTGGCTCTTGATTGTATTATTGATTGTACAAGAAACCTGTTGAATTTTCTAAACAATACTTGAGCAACAAGCTTGTCTTTAAATTTACTATTAGTGTTATGAATATGAATAAAAGTTTTTGGAAATAAGTTAATATTTGTGTACATACAGAATGTTTGGATATATATATTGAGTCGCAACAGTGAGAGTATTTGCCTTTTGATGAGTTATAACTCTCCATACAGTAAATTGCACAAAATGTCATGATTTTATAATATGAATATGTACAACATATGACAATTGTTATCACAATAATGAAAATAGACTATTGTAATATATTGCAAAGTATTGCTATATTGTCCAATCTTGTGTAGTGCATAAGCTAATGAACTGAAGATTTGCTGCAAGGATCTGAGCTTAAGTTATCCATTGAGTTTTATTATTTAGTGTCATTTGTATAATGACAGTACTAAGAAACTATAAAGTGGACAGATTCATTGTTAAATCTGTATTGGAATTGAAATGTCAACCAAGGAGGAAATCATAATTGTTTAAATTCAAATTGTATTATATATTTGTGAAGTACAGATAATAAAAAAAAAAAATAGAATATAAGAATATATTATTGAATATTAATATAAATAAATGTATATCAGAAGATGATAATAACTGATTTAAAGCATTCATGAGTTAATAATGAACTCATCTTGAAGTTAGCACATGGATTGTGTCAAACAGTGTGGTCTAGAATTGTGAAATTTGGATAATAAACTTTATAATTCAGATATTATGGCAGGAAGATGGAAATAAATGAGTGCATAGCACTCTTTTGTTGTATATAGGTATGGACAGATGGGAGAGAATTAAGAGAATACATGTAAACTGTGATATGGTGAAATAGAGGAGAAAGGAAAATTGGATACTATTTTTAAATGGTTTATGTAACTTACCTTTTATGTATTTGTATACTACAGGATTATAAAATATTTTATGATTTGACTAATGAAGTTTCTGTATATTAATTAGTTATTATTAAATAGTCTCTGTGGGAGGCAATGTTAAGATATTCAAAATACATAAGCTTTAAAATTATTATAGAAGAAAATTATGAGACACAGACAGACAAGATTGTTAGGAAAGTAAAGAGATATGGATATTCTAGAAAACTTTGCTGATGACCTTGGTAATGTGGTTATTAATAGGCTGCATAACATTCCATGCATGGAAATTCGTTCCCATTCTATACAACCGTTATATATTTATGAGAATTCCTTATTGTTGGTGTTTTATGCTATGCCTTTATAAAAATGTGGTTTGTTTTATTTAATATAACTTTGTTACCAAAGAGGATGAGACTGAAGTTAGTCGGTTTTATGAAGATAGCATTTCTATACTGTGGCAAGCTTCCAATTATCTTCTGTGAATCTACTGTACTGTAGAGGACAGTGCATGGTGATTTCGGTATAGCTATGACAGGAATATATAAGTAAAAAAAAAAATAAAATAGGAAAAATCCTCAATATCTTGTGAACACAAGTTAATCACTGCAAATGTAACTTAGATTGAAAGTGAGATGTTGGTATCCGTTGGGATGAACAGTGATTCACAAGCACAGTATCAGTATAATTTATAGAAGAAAAAAATATATAAATAGTAATGATTCAAAAGAAAATTGTATCATATGTACAGGTATAAATACATATAGTCATGCCTATTTAACATTTAAATAGTATTGTGATTGATTGGATTGTAGGACGCCATATAATGAAATGAAAAATTTATAAGCCATATATATATATATATAAGAAAATGGCAGAGACGACAGACAAAAGAAACGTAGGACAGCAGAAAAAAAAGATAAGCAGATGACATAAGAAAAAAAAAGGAAACAGCAGGAGAAGATTGGATGCAAACTTCCATAGAGAGAGACATGGATAGTCAGTATGGACGAGCTGGTTTATGAATATGGATACTGGCGTAATTTATGAGATTTTTATATGGTTTACTGATGGATAATAAACTACTTTATGAATAGCATATATGTAGAATGAAAAATAAATACTGCATGGTCTAAGTTGTAAGTTTTACATGTTATAGAGAATTATTTGTTGAGAAAATATTTGCGAGCTGAGCCATTGTTCTTTAATTATAATGGTATTATAGTGAATACAAATTTAAGAAGCACAGGTAGTTAAAAGAAAAACAAAAACAAAAGGACAATTGATTGTTGTTAAATGTATGAGCATTAAAGTTTTGAAAAGTGTACATGGGTATACTAGATTTAAGTTGAAAGGATCCTATTGAACCTATAACTGTTTTAAGAGACCGTTATATCCAATGCAAATAAAATGAGAGACAATATAAGTTGTGGAAGTAAGGCTATATCTGTCAATTTAATCCCAGGAATATATAAGAAAAGTTACTAGAGGATATAAAGTAGTAAAGTAAGCTGGTTTAAAAAGTAGTAAAGTAAGCTGTAATAAGATTTGTATACCTGTCATAAAACTAGCAGATAAATAATTATTGTATTATATACGGCCCTGTGTGCGCACAAAGCATTCATGCTTTTTAGTACACAGTCATAACTTTGTAAGTCATTGTTATCTTTAAATAAAATAAATAAATAAAAAATAAATAAATAAATGAAAGTTAAAATATAAGAAAGT